CTCTCATTTGAAGTAATTACTTTGTATTATTAGCACATTTCTATATATGGAGAGATTATCAAAAAGCGAATGCTGAGACAGGTACCAGTCCATGTCAGGAGTTATTTAAAAATAACATTTAGTCTGTGTGCTACCACTCTTTAATATTCTAGTGAGATTACAACAGCTTGTTTTTAAAGCTGAACTTATTTAGAAATAAAACATTAAGTTGTGTTTAAAACTTGGAAGGAAATGTGAATTCATCATAAATCATTATCCACCTAAAGACTGTTGTTATCTTCAGTGCTTTTAAAAATATGTAACCATGTCTCTATTTATCAAAGAATTAATAAAATGAGTTTGATTTCAAAAAATAAAGATAAAAATCTGTTAGAACTCCCACAGGTCTTCAGAAATCTTGTTTTGCCTTGTTTTTTGTTTTGTCTTTTTTCTATTAAGATTTATTTTGTGCTTTTAAGCATTAGCAAAAGTTTGTGGGTATGGAAAATCAGATATGAATAATACCTCCTAAGAAGTGTGGGTGAGGATTACAAAAATAAACATCTTAGATTTTTACAATGCTTTAGATTCCTTCAGTTTGTCTAGAACATGGACAACTATTTGGTAGTTTGGGTGGTTTTCTTTTCTATTTTTATTTTTTAAGACAATGTTTTAAAAATATTTTTTAAGGGTAGGCTGGCCTCAAACTTAGTATATTTAAGACCTGAGGATGGTCTTGAATTTCTGCCTCTACCTCCCATATAAGCCCACACCAGCTTTTCAATTTTTACTTGACAAAAATAGAAACTATATATGTTTATAATATGCAACAAAACTTTTTACATATGTATACAGTATAGAATGGCAAAATCAAGATATTTGATATATGTATTGCCTCACATATTTTTAAATTTTCTTGTGGCAAATAGCTCATGTGGTTTTGTTTAGTCAGTGAATGCCACAATCCAGTGGTTCTCAACCTTCCCTGCTGTCTGTTGGAATGCAGTTGCCCCCAGCAGCACATCAGACCAACTAATACACCAGAGAACTCAGATGTTAGCATTCTCAAAACTTGTTGCCAAGTCTAGTGTGTGTTCACCTTGGCATTTGTTTGTTGGGGGGGGGTGTTCTCCTACTAGAAATAATTAAAATTTTAAGCTACCAACTTATCAGAAGAAGCACTTGTGTAAGAGTTTGGAAACTTGTATTCCATGGCTGGAGAGATGGCTCAGTAGTTAAGAGCACTGACTTCTCCCCTAGAGAACCCATATGGCAGTTCACAATCACCAATAACTCCAGTTCCAGAGGATCTGATGCCCTCTTCTGGCCTCTGCGGGCACCAGGCATTCATGTGCATAGACAAAACACCATATTTATAAAATAAAATTATTTCTAGGTAGTTATCTCACCTTTGAACCAGCATGTTTAAGTTGTGCTTTATAAAGTGAGGCTATTTGGACTAAAAAGTTGCTCACCAAGTAGTTATTCAGCAAGTTGGATTCCCTACTATGTATGTTCTAGGCAAGAATACAGAGACAACCAGAGCATAGATTCTGTTCTTGAAAAGCTCAGGAGAGGGAGGAACACACTGTATGCTTGGGACCTTGTTCAGGGAATGTGGAGGGATCAGAGGAGCATGGACATGCACTTCATTAGCTCAGCAGGAAGACAGACACTGTTGCTGTTTGGGACTACCCACAGATGTTTACTTTTTACCTTCACAGCTCAGCAGGACTATAGAAGTCTGTGGGTTAGTTCCCTTCCCTCTGTCCTGCCTGAGCTCACCTCACATTATTGTGTGGGGATATGATTCTTAGTGCTGCAAAAGAGACTGTGAAGCCCAGGACAAAGGACTCGGTGAGAGCAATGACCAAAAAATGAACTGGAAACATCTGGATGCAACTGAAGCTCATGAGATTTTTTTTATTTTATTTTAAGGCAGGGTCTCTCTGTAATGCCCTGGCTGTCCTGGTGGTTGCTTTGTAGACCAGACTGGCCTTGAACTCACAGCTATCCACCTGCCTCTGCCTCATGATACTACTTGAGTTCATATTGTTTTCATTCTGTCTGCTTTGAGACTGTCCTGAATCAACAATGTCAGCATTACCCAGGAGGTTGACTAGTGCCTTAGTTACTTTTCAATTGCTGTGATAAGACCCTACAACTAATGCAACTTATAGAGGAAAGCATTTACTTGAAAAAACAGTTCCAGAGGGTGAGTCTGTGATCATCATGGCAGCAGGCATGGCTGAGAGCTAGCTGGGAATGAAGCAGAAGCTGAGAGCTTACATCTTGATCCACAAGGACAGAGCAGAGAGCTATCTGGGAATAGCACAGACTTTTGAAACCTCAAAACTCCCCCCTGGTGACACGCCTCCTACAACAAGGCTATACCTCCTAATCCTTACTAAACCAAACATTCAAATGTGTGAGCCTGTGGGGGCCATTCTCATTCAAACCACCACAGTTTGAAACTCAGAAACCCAAACCCTACTTCAGATCCCCTTCCTCTTTTATCACATTCTCCCTCAGTGAACTGGAATGCACATTCTGACCATGTATAAGCTTTATGTCTCCCTCTTGTCTAATTGCAGTAACTAAGACTTCAAGTTCTATGTCTCAACGAGATGCTCTATGGCATGTATGTCATTAATACATCCTCACTGCTGTAGCTAAGACTTAAATTACTGTTTTTTCAAGCAGGTGCTCTGTGGGGTATATGTAATGAACATGTCCTCACTAATACAAAGCCATCTGGATTCACCCAGTGATAGGTTCTGAATCAGAAAGTCGCTGGCTTTGAATTCAGATGTGGGAAGTTATAAAAACTATTATTCTCACTGTCCTAGTTTTTCTGTCATTTTAATAAAAGACCTCAGCAAAACATCTTTGCTCCTTTTAGAGGGCAAAGTTAGGGCTAGGTGTGGTAGCACAAACCTTTAGTTCCTGTACTTGAGAGACAGAAGCAGACACAGGAGGATCTCTGAGAGTTCAAGGATAGCCAGGACTACACAGTGAGACCCTGTTGTTAGCAGGTTTATATTTGATCACCTCCCAGGAAGTGTCATTACATGGCCAACCAGCTCCTTTATTTTGGGGCCTAAGCTGAAGCAGAACACTGTGATGAGGGTGTGTTGTGGAACAAAGCTGCTTGCCACATGACAGCCAGGAAGGAGCTTACGAACGAGGCCTATCTCCCCAGACCACACTCCAGTGACTTGCTTGTAACTAGCTCCTCCATCCACCACCCCACGTTCCAGGTCCACCATGTTATAGATCCACAGGGATTAGGTCACAGCCCTCATGATCCAGTCACTCTATGACTAGATCACCAACTGGAAAACAGGACCTCTGCCCGTGAACTTTTGAGGTACTTTACAATCAAGGCATCACAACCAAAAATAAACAGTGAACTATAGCTGACTACTATCTGCCATACTAGTTATCCCAGATAACAAACTAGATGTATCTCCTGAGCACTTGAAGGATGGCTGAAGTTTTATAATAGCCACATGTGGCTAAGTGGCTATGGCATTGGATACTGTGCAGCAATAGACACTGTGAGTCTGTGTTTAGTATGGGGATGGTACTCCAAGGACAGAAGTGGACAGGAAAAACTCCCCTAGGCTGCCTGTCAGCTAGGAGAGACTGAGAGGGCAGCAGAGCTACAGCCTTCACCAGGCCACCCTCCCCCTCTTCAGGTAGAAGGTAGACAAGATAAGCGCAGATCACACTGTCCTCCAAGGTACAAAAAGCCAGGAGTGGGAGTGGGAACAGCTGTCAGCTACCTGGAGGCTGGTAGTCAGGGCTGTATTTGGGGGGAGGGGTGTGTCACAGTTCACAGAAAAGTAGGCACCTCCTCCAAAACCTCAGGGCCCAACTCTCAGGTCTTGATAGGAAACTCCTGATATGTTCTCAAAATGGCTCGACACTCAAGGCAGAGCCAGGTGACAGGTAGATTTCCACCAGTTGGAAGTCAGCCTGGGTTACATAATGACTTCTAGGGTAGCTAGGGCTACAGAGATACCCTGTCTCAAACAAAACCAAATCAATCAATCACTAATAGTAATAATAACAATAAAACTTTGCCTGTGCTTAAAAATAACCAAAGAATTCTACAGAAACGTACACAGCAGCAAATATAAAAAGAGGGTTGCTTTAGCAGAGACATGAAATAACTTCATCTGATCTCATTCTGCTCAGGGCAACCTTGAACTTCTGATCCTCTTCTACCTCACAGCTTGTTAGTGTGCTTACTTCAGAAGAACACTTGCCAAGTTTTTGAACACCACTCAGGACATAGAGAAATTTCCTTAAAATTGGAGTCATAATTTAAAATTTCTGGAATCATAACTGTCTCTGCTATTCCTAAGTGACTAACAGCAGTAAGAAATTGGATCCTGTTTTAATTTTCAAGTTTTATAGATTTTCTAGGGTGTGTGTGTGTGTGTGTTTGTGTGTGTGTACGGTGTGTATGCACGCACTTGGTTGGTTGGTTGGTCAGTTGGTTAGTTTGGATCTTGTTTTGGTTTCCACTATCAGACTGGCCTGGAGCCTATGCCCATGCTGGTTTCTGGTCCTCCCTCCTTAGTTTCTGAAGTGCTCAGATACTCAACTAGCTTCATTTAAATATTGGTTCAGATTTGTGAAATAACTCATAATTGCTCCTTGAAAGAACTTGAGCATTGTGCACTGAGAAGTTAGAGGTGAAAGGGTTATAAATTCAAGGCTAGTCTAGGCCACATAGAAAGTTCTAGGTCATTCTCAACCACATGGTAGAATTCTATCTCAAAACAAAACAGAAAACAAAAAGAGCCATTTTTATTTCCAGAGATGGGGAAAATTCTCAGTGGTTCTTCTTTTCCTAAGTGTACAGCCAGTGTATGTTAGTTTGACCTGCTTGCCTTTGGCAGCTGCACATGACTTACCTAGTGTTTGTTAGAAGGGAAAGATGTAATGAACTATTAGAAATTAATAACAGCAGTAGAAATTAATAACAAAATGTGTGTCTTTGTTTTTAGGGAAAATTTTTATTCCCAAACAGAAACCTGTGCAGACTTTTGCAGAAGAAACCATATCCCTTGACCCAGAATTAGAAGAAGCTTTGACAAGTGCCTCTGATACAGAATTGTGTGACCTTGCAGGTATCTACTCAAATTTTAAACGCGTGTGGTGTGGGGAGAGCCATGCAGGCCACACCTGCATGCATTATACACTTACTTTGTACTTTACACAGTAAAACATGGCAGTAAGATTCTTTTAAGTACCCTCTTGGTGAAATTTTATCATGATAAAATTTCTTATGTGATAAGTTTTCCTATGTTGCTATATTTTAAAGTCTTTCTAACAACAACAAAAGCCACATCACCAGCCAGTGAACCTGTCTCATCAGAGCTGTAGAAACAGATGTCAGGGGCAGCTTCTCTCCGGTTTCATGGAGAGTGAATAGAAATCAAAAGCTGTGTTCATGTCCCCAACTTTGCCCAACTGACATGGAGCACTGCAGACTTCCTGAATCTGTATCACCAGTTTTTACATAGACCACCCTTTCTCCACTCACTGTCCAAATACCCATTTCCCCTGGTGGGAAATGTGACGTGTAGGAAGATCTGCATACCAGAGAACTCTAAGAACCGACATTTTGGAAAGGGAAGTGAAGGTTCCTGGGAATGGCCCTGGGAAGGGGCAGAGTGAGGTGTGCTGTCACAGCTAGAAACGGTGGGATATTCTTGAGGGACAAAGGATTTGCAGATGGTACCTTCATCAGAGAGGACATCAAAAGACTTGAACGTTCCTGAGGATGCTACGTTACCTTAAACGAAAGAGCTTAATGATACTTTCAGTGTAGTCACAGGCTGCACCACCATGCCCAGCCTTGCTTGGGCTGTGTTTTGTTCCTAGAAACATAGATGGTGAACAAGTAGATCTTTTTTGTTTCCTCTCTAAGCCACCAGGTGGAGCTAAGCATAGATTTCCCTTTAGGGTCCACCTGGCCTACACTGTTGTCTAATTTAAAGGTGATATAACAAGGTTATTGATGAAAATGAATGGGAAATTGTTGGTGATTTCTAACCACTCACCACCCCACTCTCCTGTTTGGGGTGTGAAGTCCATTTTCAGTTTAATAGTAAAATGTTTGGAGAACGTTAAAAGTATTAATAAAAATGTTGTTTGCAAACTAAGTACTGGGCACACATCTATAATCATAGCAACCTGGAAGGCTCAAGGCAGGAGGACCGCTTCTGCCCAGGAGTTAGAGGCCTGCTTGAGCAACACAGCAGGACTCCATCTAAGAACAGTAAAAATGAAAGAGTTCAGAGCAGGTAAAAGTAGAAAACTAACTCTATTCTCTCTGCAGCTATCCTTGGGATGCACAATCTGATTACAAACACACAGCTGTGTGATGTGGGAAGCAGTAACGGTGTTGACCAAGAACATTTTTCAAGTGAGTAATTAAAATGCCTTATAAATTCCAGTCCTGTGTCAAGTATGTTTTGCTTCCTCCATGTATTAACTTTGGTTTTTATTACGCCAAATAGTGTGTGTGTTTGTGTGTGTAAATGGATTAAACTTAAAATTTTGATAGTACTGTTACAGAAAGCCATTAAAATATAAAATTTACTCAGATGTAGTGATTCCTGCCTGTAATCCCATTGTTAGGAATGCTTCTTGTTCCTCTGGAGGATGGGAGTTCAGTTCCAACCTTATAAAGCTTACAGTTACCCATAACTCCAGCTCCAGAGGATCCCACGCCTAGACCCGGCCTCCAAGCCCCCCCTACACACACACACACACACACACACACACACACACACACACAGCATGTCATACATACATGTAATCAAAATATTTTTTAAATCAAATTAAAAAAAGAATAATTAGTATTTTAGGGTTTTTTGTTTTGTTTTTTGGAAACAGGGTCTCACTATATAGCTTTAGCTCACCTCTAACCCAGTTCTGCCTGTCTCTGCCCTCTGCCTCCTAAGTGGTGGCATGTGCCACCATACCTGGCAGTATTTTAGTCTAAATGTGTTGGCAGATGTAATGGGAACTGCTTTTGCCACATAAATAGTAATGACAAGCAGTATGAAAACTAGATAAGCTTAGGGTTTTTAATCTGTCTCTTTTTTTTTACGAGTTGTTTTTACAGTGTGGAGAGTCAACCTAGGACCTTAAGCATACTGCTTGAACTTTGCCATAGGATAGCCCCAGTCCAACCATACTTAGTTTTTGTCAACATTTCATGTTTGTGTTGCTAGTTTTAAGAAATCCATGGACATTCTGACAAAGTTCCATTTTTAAAAACATAGGATGTAGTTGGATTATCCAGGTAAATATATGCTATTGTAGCATTTTATTTATATATATATATATATATATATATATATATATATATATATCAAAATAAACATCCCAAAGTGGGAGAGATGACTCAGCAGTGAAGAGTTTTCTGCTCTATTAGCATCCTCAGTCAACCCGTGCTCCTCCATTTGTTCCTACAGATGTGGTGAAAGGTGAAAAGATTCTTCCAGTGTTTGATGAGCCACCAAATCCAACCAATGTTGAGGAGAGTTTAAAGAGAATTAAGGAAAATGATGCCCGTCTTGTTGAAGTTAATTTGAATAATATTAAAGTAAGTATGTTAAACATGCAGTATGTAAATGTGTATGTATAGACCTTAACACATGATGTTTGCTTTGAGTCAACCATATCCAGGTCAGTAATGTAGCAGTTCTGGTATGTAGTCTTAATTTGTGCTCTAAGCTCAAGTATATTAATAGTATATGAACATAGATTCCTTCAAAGTTTATACATTCAAGTATTATAGGAAATATTTTGTTAGCCCAGTGGTGGTAGTACACGCCTTTAATCCCAGCACTTGGGAGGCAGAGGCAGGTGAATCTCTGAGTTTGGGGCCAGCCTGGTCTACAGAGTGAGTTCCAGGACAGCCAAGGCTGTTTCACAGAGAAACTCTGTCTCAAAAAGTCAAAATGAATAGTTATAGTTTAAAGAGCTTATCATATAGGAATGTGGTCCTATACATTGTCAGTAAGTCACTCTAATTTTTAAATTACTGCCCACTTTAAAAAAACTTGAGCCTTTGGTTTTTATTTTAATCAAGTTTATCAAGTTATTTAAGTGAGATTCTTTTAATGTACAGTCCTGAGGTGTAAAGCTGTAAGACACCACTCTCATGTTGTAAACCAAAAAGTAAACGCCTGACTGACTGACTGACTGACTGACTGACTGACTGACTGACTGACTGGAGCCTGTCTGTAATGTTAGAAGCTGTTCATGCCCTCTTGTTATTCTCTGTCCACTCTTGACCCTTGCTTACAGCTGTTCATTTCGCCTTCTCCAGCCTTGTAAATGGGATCAAATCTGCAGCTTTCTGAGTCTTCCCTTTGGCACAATGCGTTGGAGACTCACCCATGTTGTGTGGGTGCCCCTGGTTTGTTCTTTCTCACCTGGTCGTTCTCTCGTAGGATATGCTGCAGCTTGTTCATCCATGAGTCAGTTAGTTGACGTGAGTTGCTTCCAGTTTGGAGTGTTATGTATAAAGTGGCTGCACACAGCTATCTGTGAGGCCTTTGAAAAATTTAGGGTTTTTGTTTCTCTTGACCAAATGCCTAGAAATTGGCTTTCTGGGATCTGTTTGGTTTTTGTTATTTCAAATTATTATTGCTGTTTGTTTGTTTATTTGTTTGTTTTGAGACAGGGTCTCGCTATGTAGTCCTGGCTATCTTAGAACTTGCTTTGTAAACTAGACTGTTTGTTTGCATACTTCCTGAATATGTTTTAAAGCAAATAGTTAAGTATAAATGTATTTGATTAATGAATTGAACTTCCTGAAAACGAAAATGTTGATGGTGTTTCACATTTTTGTCTTTCAAGAATATTCCAATCCCAACTCTAAAAGAGTTTGCCAAGACTCTGGAAACCAACACACATGTGAGACATTTCAGTCTTGCAGCCACCAGAAGCAATGACCCCGTGGCTGTCGTAAGTATGCTGTGATTGACAGTGTCAGTAATGCCCAGCTGATGTCTACAGGCTGGTGTAAGAGTGAGGGTAGACCTTGATCCGAGTCGCTTCCTCAGTGAGCCACCTCTGCTTACCTACTCTCAAGCCATAACATATTAATGAATTAGTTCCTTACAGAAACTGAGAGAAAGTGTGAGAGGCGACATGGAGCAGAGAGTGAATGAACATGAAATATGAATAGCAGTTAGGGATGTCAGCACCTGGAAATTACATGGAACCAAATAATCTAGAGATTATATACGGAGGGGCTGGAGAGATAGCTCAGAGGTTAAGAGCTCTGATTTTTCCAAAGGTCTTGAATCTTTAAAAAAAAAAAAAAAAAAAAAAAAAAAAAAAGATTAAGTATGATAATGTGCATGGGAGAAGTAAATACTGTGAGACCTGAGTAGTAATGTAACAAGCTGGAAAAAAATGTAAGGAGAAACTTAAGAAAGTTCAATTTATGAATTTACTTATGGCATATCCAGTGAAAAATAGGTGCTGTCAGATTTTAAGCTCCAAATATTTTCTCTTAATTTTTAGGCATTTGCAGATATGCTGAAAGTGAACAAAACTTTGAAGAGTTTAAATATGGAGTCCAACTTCATCACCGGTGCTGGGGTTTTAGCACTAATTGATGCTTTGAGAGACAATGAGACCCTGATGGAGCTCAAGATTGACAATCAGGTTGGTGTTCTTTAGTAGCAATTCAGAGGAAATTGCAGCCCCCACGGCCAGAAAGGCTTACAAGAAGGGCTGGAGTCCTCTCGGAAAGGTGGTGGCAGAAACGGGGTGATGAGACACTTGGGGGATCCAGAATGTTAATGTATACCAGGTGAATAAAGAGAGCCCCTAAGTCAATTTAAGGAATTAGGTAAGTGGCTGATTTGAACTGGAAAGAGTTTTACACATGACTTAGTCCACTTTTCCCCCACTTTTCCCACACAATGGATAAACCTTTTGCATCCGTAGTATGTTACAGTCCCAAATACAGAGACTATAAATAGAGTTGTTTGCATAAAAGAAGAAACATAGTGCTGAAGAGATGCCTGGGTGGGTGAGAGTGCTTGCATGATTTCAAGAGGAGCTGAGTTCAGCCTACAGCACCTGTGTAAAAAGAAGCTGGCCACAGCCATGTTCCCCTGGAACACCTCCAGCATTGGGGGTCAGGAAGAAGCAGAACCTGGAGCTTGATAGCCAAGGCAACAAGTGTCAGGTCCAATGAGAGAAACATCCCCGGACCCAGATTGTTCTGAGGGCACCGTCTTTATCACACAAGTACAGTGCTAATACTTTGACAGATGTGGGGCCACCTATTCCTAGACACACTTTTGTTTATGGTTTTGTATTTTATGGTCACATGTGTGCATGCATGTGCACGTGGAGGCCAGAGGAATCACATTCCCTGGAGCTGGAGTAACAGGTGATTGTGAGCCACCTGATGTGAGTGCTGGGTCCCGAACCTATGTCTTCAGGAAGAGCAGCAAATGTTTTTAACTGCTAAGCCATCTCTCCAGTCCCCAAGACAAACTTTTTAAGAGGGGAGACTATACATTCCATACAGAGCAACTATTAATTTTTTATTTGAAAAATAGCATGGGGAGATGGCTTTATACAAGCAAAACCAGGCAGATCCCATGGGCTTACTGGCCAGCTGACCCAGCCAAAACAGTGAGCTTCCAGTTCAGTGAGAAACCCTGTCTCAAGAAATAAGGTGGAGAATGATAGAGGAAAATACTGTGTCCACCTCTGACCACCTCACACATGTACAGGCAAATGTGTTCACACACCACATACACACAAAATACTTTAGTTATTTGGCAAATGATTTCCTGAGTCCTTCAAAATGAATAAATTTTGTAAACTGTGAAAATAGAAAAGAGATTTGGTTGTATCTAAAAACTGAACCAAGATTTTTTTGTTGTTGTTCTTTGTTTTTCGAGATAGGATTTTTCTGTAAAACAGTCTTGGCTATCCTGGAACTCATTCTGGCTTCCAACTCACAGAGATCCACCTGCCTCTGCCTTTTGAGTGCTGGGATTAAAGGCATGTGCCACCACTGCCCAGCTCATGATCTCAAATTTTTAATTGAGATGTAACTCAAGTATGTGATGTTTTGTGATGGCTTCTTCAACCTAGCATAAAGTCCTGGAGGTCTATCCATGTTGCAATACATGTCAAAACTCCAGTCTGTACATTACTAAATAATATCCTGTCACACTGTAGGGTTTCTACTTTGGGGCTATTAAAGTAATGCTACAGAGCCGAAGAGATGGCACAGCTGTTAAGAACCCTTATTGTTCTTGAAGAGGACCTGGGTTCAATTCCCAGCATCCAAATGATAACTCACAATCGTCTTGAACTCTAGTTCCAGAGAATCTAATGCCTCTTCTGTCCTTCATGACACCAAGCGTGCACACAGTGCATATACATACATATATACATACACAATACATATACACAAATAGGCAAAACACATACATGGCTTTTTTGAAAATTAAGAAAAATAATGCTCCTGTGAATATTCATGTCTAAGTTTTTATGAACATACATGTTTATTTCTTAGGATTTATACTTATGAGTAGAACTACTGGAGAGTTACGTAATTCTGTATTTCGAGGCGTTCCTGAGAGCCCACTGAAACAAACAGTAGGGTCACACTTTCTGTATTGCCCAGAGTGTTCTTGATCTAGGATCAAGCATTTCTCCCACCTTACCCTGCCCGGTCCCTGGAACTCTAGGTACACACTACCGTGCCTGCTGCTTGTCCATTGTCTTGTTTGGATAGTTTGTTGGTTTGGGTTTCTTTGGGGTCAAGGTTGAGACAGTCTCATGTAGCCCAGGCTAACTTCAAACTTCTCTGCACAAGAAGGATGACCTTAGAGTTATACTTTCAGCCCCCAGCACTGGGGTCACAGGTGTGCACCAGCATAGCTGCTGTGTGCAGTGCTGGGGATTGAACCCAGGGCTTACTGGGTGCTGGGTTAGCCCCAGCTGAGCCACTTCCTCAGCCTTTCGGTCTCTCTCATCATCCCCATCCTTGTGGATATGAGGTGGCACTCACAGTAGCCACACTTTTCTGATTTCTGTATGAGCTTTGGGTGTCAGTTGAACTTTTAAAAATGTGTTTCTTATGTATATTGTAGAAACTGGGAAAACAGAGCAACAGAATCATCATGGGAGTGGGTCTTAAATTTTCTTTACCTAAAAATGTTTTGATCTCGTTTTTTAATACTGTTCTTTGTTTCTGATCCTTCCAGAGGCAGCAGTTGGGCACAGCTGTAGAATTAGAAATGGCCAAGATGCTTGAAGAAAATACGAATATCCTTAAATTTGGCTATCAGTTCACGCAGCAGGGACCCCGAACCAGGGCAGCCAATGCTATAACGAAAAACAATGACTTAGGTAAGATGTATGCAATACTGAGTCAAGTTTCCAAAATACACCATGTGATGGCTGTAAATTACGCTTTCCATGTCAGATGTTTTTTCTTGGTTGATAGTTACTCCTTGTGCTTTGAAACAAAGAGTTCAACACCACCAGAAAGCATTCTGCCATTTATCAAGCAGACCCAGACAGAAATTCAGTTTTATGTTATCAAGTATAAACTAAGTATAGTTTACCTCCCTAGCCTCTCTGATGTATGCAGCGCGCTCCTGCTGCACGCAGTGATCCCATTCTACCCTGTTCCTCTTCCTGCTGAGTCTTGTGGTCTCTGAAATGAACTCTCCAGTCCTGGATGAGTTAATAATTATGGTGCTCATAATTTTGTTTCTCTGTGTTTCCAGAAAGTGACTCTCCTTTTAAGTTATGCTATTTACACTAAAATGGTTTATAAGATTCATTGTAGGCAACAAGTAAAATTAAGTCCTCACAACAGGGGTGGCGTTTCCAAGCAGAGTGGTTCTTTTAGGCTTCAGCCAGATTTGCTTGTGTATTGGTGTAGTTTCATTCTTTAATCTAGTTACATAAGCCGTATTGTTTAGTTCCCTTTCTATGACAGTTGCCCATAAGATGTTTTAGCCACTTGCTTTTCAAAAGAGAAAATGGTGCTTTGATGTACTCTCAATTCTAGATGTGGTTTTCAGTCAGTTGTCTTGGTGTTGGTAAGCATCATTTATGCGAATCAACCAAGTATTTTTACTTGGATGTTCAGAGCAGTGTTTCTGAAGTCTGGACTGAACTATGTATAGAGAACTTTCAAAACCCAGACTATTGGCTTCCCTTCCTTTAGAGACTCAGGTTTAGAATAGAGCAGGACTTGGCATTGGGACCCTTAACAAGTACTCAAATTCTGCAGTGTAGTTCATGCTCATTGAAATACTAGTTTGGTTATCAGGAGACATTGGAGTTTCTGAGTCTGGCATTAATACATATTGTGAACACATGTGCTATACATATTTTTGACTTAACATTTGTCATACTTTTAAAATTGCCTTTTACTTTATAATTTATTTGTAGCTCACTTAGAGTGTCTTTCTCCAGATAAATTTTGGTTTTTTTGAGCCAGGTCTTGCCATTATAACTCGGGCTGGCCTCAAAGTCCTGGTGATCCTACTGCCTGCTCCTGCAGAGTGTTTTGGATTATAGGCACAAGCCAGCATGCTAGCTAAAAGAGTCTCTTTTGGGGCAGGCAAGATGGCTTATTGAGTAAAGTCGTTACCACTGTAGCTTGACAACCTGGGTTTGATCCCTAGAACCTGTGTAACAGTGGAAAGAGAGACCCAGTGTCACAAAGTTGTCTTCTGACCATTCACACACCATTGCACATAATATATACACATGCATTCACACATCATATACAAGCATAGTAAATAAAATTTGAAAACAAAATAGTCTAGTTTCAAATATTATAATTATTTTTTTTATAGTATAGGGACATGTTGCTGTCAGGAGCCATGTTCAAAAATCATGTCTGACCCATAGCAGGTATTTAGAAAATGTATTAATGGGCAGAATGTTTGTCTAGCATGTTCAAGGTCCCGGGTTTGGTCTCTAACAAAACCAAAAAGAAAAGGGGGGAGGTGAGAAGTAAGGGAATAAGGCAATAGAATTTGTCTTTATTCGGTTATAGTTTTCTGGTAACTGAATCATCTTAAAATAAACCAGACAAATCTTCCATTTTCCTCTCCTCTGAAACTACCTTAAGTCCCCAAATGCCAGAAACATATATTACCCCTAGTCCTCTCTGTCATAGACAGATGACACCCATGAGAATTGTATAATTGCATCCCCTAACATGATAGCATGATAGTCCCTTTTCGTAAGATCTCAGAAGTTATGTTATTGTGCCAAACCAATTGTGACAGATGCTGTACCCAGGCTTACAGAAAAGAATATTGTTAGAGGGCATGTAGATGAGTGGGACAGACAAGGACTTCCTGGGCTGACAGTTGAATAGCTGTCCACAGCAGTGTACTGTGAGGATAAAGAAGGCATATGGAAGAAGGCTGTCTGTCACAATAGGGAATTGAGAAGCCCACACATCTGCTAGAAGTTTCCTAGACTCTACTCACGCTGTTCCATTCTGATACAAACTAGAGTTACAGACATTGGTCACACATGTAAAGTGACAATAAGGACATTCCTAGGGGACACAGCATATAGAGAAGGTTGGATGTGAGAGCAAGCAACTCTATAATAAGCTGTCCATGCACATACTTGTTTGAATAAATACAGATTTTTAAATGAAGATATCACTGGTAGGGAAGAGATGGGATTGATAGGGATGGGAGAGAGTCAAGAAGGGTAGGCTAAGAATCCGAATGTGTACATGTGTGAGCATGAAGTGATGTCAACACTTTAGGAAGATGGGCAGGGAAAATGGGGCAAGGGGTTAATAGAAGATGCTAAAACTACATGCCAAAAACTTAGTTGTTTGTTGTGTGTTTTATGTTGGAGGCATTTGGGCTAGTGTAGGCTATATGATTAACACAATGCTTTAAAAGAAAAAAAGGAGCATTATTGTTTTAAAGCCTGAAAGTAAAGTCGGGTAGGACTTGTTATTAACAAGCAGATACCCGTGAAAGATCAAGAATCTTTATTCATGAAGTAGGTTTTGAAAAAACATTGGAGCAGGTAGGTAACATGGACCCCAGGGGACAAAGAATAATCAAAACTGGCGCTCTGCGCTGTGCTCTCTGCCTTGTTGTGCATGTAGCAGCTGCTCAGCTCTGCTACTAGCTTCTTTCTCTTGCAGACTGTGGCGTCTGCCTATAGACTCGGGCAGAGAGCCTGGGAACCGTGCTTTCTAACATGGCGGCCAGGCTGCCTGACATGACACAGTCTCCTGGACAGATAACTTTCCTTCAGCTTGCAAGTAGGGCTGTATCAAATCTTTGTCCTCATTTTTATAATATCTTCTCACTGTCTTCTTATCTCAGCTGTCCATTGAAATACTTCTGCCTACTTGCCATCCCTCCAGCTAAGAAGTGTCACAACTATAACAGAAAAGAGGTTGTATGGTACACATACAATAGTCACTTCAACACTGAGCTGTTCATCTGTACACTAACTGCATAATCAGCTTTCTGCGGAGTTTTGTTTGCTGTGCTTGTAGATCCTGTCTGTACACCTTTAACGTTTTTTTTAGCATGCATTTTAACATCTGAAATGGTTTGCCAAAACCAGCCAAACACTGCCCTAACAATTGCCTGATGTGTCTTCCCTTTTCATTGTATATTTGTATTTATTTCTGGTCTCCTTGGCTTTTTCCTCCCTTCATTTTTCAGTAGACACTTGAAGCTTGTTCCTCATACTGTAGGTTAGATGAGAGTCAGGGAAAAGTGAGTAGTTAAGTATGGTTCATGGAGGAGACTGTAGCCTTTGCTTTTATTTTCTGACTCCACTCAGCCAATGCCTGGACCGTTCTTATACACACCAGTGAATGTCTGGTCCCAGCAGCCAAAGTCAGAATAGCATGGGAGCAGCCATTACTGTGGCTGGGTAGGAGGCAGCACTCTCTTGACTAGCCTCTCTGACAGCCAGTTCAGGCTAGAAAGGTGGTGCCTTGTGACTGACTTCAGAGGGGAGGTGGGGAATCAGTAATCAGAGGCTGAGTGCAGAGTAGCAAAACCAATAGCATAGGAGTGCAGATCCTTGTGGTAGCCAAGTGGAAACATGGCTGAGCAGTGCCTCAGGGCCAGCATGTAGTCTTGCCGGGGTGGAGCAGCCCTTTGCACTAAACACATTCTGTGTTCTCAGCACTGTTCTGTGCAGCACGCCATCACGTGGCTATGAGTGGGAGATAGCATTATACTCCTGCTGCCGAGCAAAGTGAAGACTCAGAGAGGCTGGCTGCCACAGCACACTCCACAAGAGTGAGTGGCGGAACTATGCGTTTTTTCCCTTGCTACTCTACAACTTGCTGTCCCATCTTCCTTGAATTATGGTCAGCCATAGTGTTGAGTACTGAAATGGTGGCTCTTGGTAGATGCCCTGTGGACTGATAGTTGAACGAGCAAGACACCTAAAGGCCTTCCTTGCTACCGGTGAGCTCAGCAGTGGTTTGATGTCACCAATCCATGAAAAGGCAGAGCATCGCCATGCTTATGTATCGTTTGCTCCATCATCTGGATTAGTTGGCTAGCCACTTTGTGCAGGCAACATTTATAGTAGCCAGAAGGGAAATTTGTAAAGAGAAGGGAAATTTGGAAAACAGTTACAAGTCAGTTATCACTTTTAGAAATGATAAAAGTAATTTTAGACTCCTTCAATATATGGAACATGCAAATACTTTTAGTAAAACTTCTTAAATTCTATTTTATGCATTGGTGTTTGCCTGCATGTATGTCTTTGTACCATGTGTGTGCCTAGTACCTGTGGCGGCCAGAAATGGGTGTCAGATTCTTTGAGACTGTAATTATAGACAGTTGTGAACTGCCATGTGGGTGCTGGGAATTGAACCTAGGTCCTCTGGAAGAGCATTGAGCCATTTCTCCAGCCCCCTAATATAATTTGTTAACCACACCTTGCCAATGTCATTGTAAACATTATTGTATTAACTGATCATTTATCTAAACTTAGGCATACTTTTTTTTTTTTCCTGTAAGCAAATGACTTCAAAACCGAGTGCTGAATGTGCACTGGATACTACATTGAATGCTGTACTTTAGGCTCCGCCCAGCTGCTGTGTAAGCACCTGTATCATAAGTTACATGGCTCTGGCTTAGAGGCCTCTCGATTTTCATCAAGCAAATGACAACAGCAGATGACTGAGCCATCTTTGTTAATGGTCGTATGAATCAGAAGAGCTCAGTTGCTAACGTTTTATAAACCAATAAGAATTCATAATGGGGTTTGTTTTTATTTTGTTTTTTTTCCCCACAGTGCGCAAGAGACGAATTGAAGGAGACCACCAGTAAGAGTACCAAGGGTAACCTTTGGAAGCCTGCAGATGACCAGAGGCTCCTGTTGGTGACAACAGATGTTAAAACTTCCTGGGTAGAAGGGAAAAGACTGGAAATCCTTTTTTTAAACTATATGCATTATTTTCCTAGCTTAAGGTATTATGTTTGATTTGTAAAATCAGTATTGGGTAGTATTTTATATTTTTAGCTTTTCTACTGAAATCATTTTAATTTAGCTTAATTGAATGGTTTGTATTTTTTAGATAGAAATGCAGTTGTAGAAAAAGTTTCAGAAGTCATGTATGTAAGAATAATTTGAACACCTTAAGGACCAATCTTTTTAAAGCAGAAAGGGACATTGCTGACTCGGTATTAATGTTGTTCCTTGTAGATAAAGGATAAGGCATATAGAGGTTTCCTTTTAAAAAAAAAAACAAAAACATGAATTTGGCAAGAACTTGCTTTTTCCTTTTTAGGGAAATAAAATTTCAGAATTTTAAAAGATGGCTCAGGATTTGATATATCTACCTAAGCCAAAGCAGGCCTCCGGAAGGTGGACCGGTCCTCCTCTGGGAGACCGAATGGTCCTCTGCGCCGAAGGTTTCTGTACTCATGCAGTGAGCCTCAGCTACACTGGCTTTGTTTGTTTGTTTGTTTGTTTGTTTGCTAATAGTCCTTAATTCTACTCACTGCTTGCCTTGTTTAAAAGTATAGTTATAGCTTAGGGTACTGCAGTATTTCATCTTGCTGTGGGCATTACATTTTTGTAAAAGCCAATGGTTAGAAAGCATCAAACTATAGATGTTATTTTCTTCCCCATTAAAAGGCTTTTGGCCAATACTCAGTTACTTAAAGTAAAAGAAAAAGAGAAAGGTGCTGTTAGATATAGGAGGGAGTTCAAACCCAAAGAACTCACAAAATGGCCACTGAACTGATGAGTATTGTCAGTATTGTCAGTGATGGTCACTCCTATACATCTAACACTTGGAAGCTGAGAAAAGGACTATTTCCAGATGTTTGTAGCCAGCCTGGACTATATAGGAAATTCTATGGCCTGTGCTAGGGCAGTTCCTACAGAAGGAGTAGGAGAGGCACTCATAGCCACAGACAACAGAGAGGAGAAGGCCCAGTGAGGCATGAACAAGTTGAGTTTTGCTTTTCCATTCCAGTTCTATAATGCATTATATAACTGAAGAAAATACTTCTTTATAAGTAACTTCAGTATGAACTTATCCAATTAAATAGATACGTTTTAAGAGTTATTATTGGAGGCCAGGGATGGTGGCACATGCCTTTAATCCCAGCAGTAGGGAGACAGAAGCAGACGGGTCTCTGAGTTACAGGACAGCCAGAGCTGTTACACAGAGAAACCCTGTCTTGGGGGAAAAAAAAAACTATAATGGAAAACAGTGTTTACCTTGATCTTTAAAAGTCTGGCTGGCACCTCTACACTTTTTATGAACTCAGTATTCAAATTCCTCTGAGATTTTTATGACATAGTAACAGATTAGGACTTTACAACAGATTTAATTATAAGCCAGAGATTTTCTAAACCCTTAAGTCTTATGTCAAATTAAATGGTTATCTAAGAATATTCACATTTTGAAAACTGCTCTTTTAAGAAGCTTTAAATTGCCCATTTTATAAAACTATGCATTTGTATTTGTCTTGTTATAATTTTCAGTATGTCTACCTGAAATTATATACATTAAATTGAGTTCTAGTCTCTATTACTAATACCTTGAAAGTAGATTTTGGTGCTATACACTTATTATAGCTAAAACCTACTGGGAGTTTAAGGAATGAGTAAAATACATTTTCTAAAGGTGCCTGTCATTTCAAAGACAAATAAACATTTTGTGTTAAACATCTGAGCAGGCGGTTGGTGATTTCCAGGAATGCCCATTGTTATTAAGTTGCTCATTATCACTAATCAAATTATCCATGCACTTTATCCAAGAGGTGCACTCCTGAAAAGTTCTCTGTAAATAGAACTTTAAAGATTGTTTTCCAACTGATACTCCCCTCATGTGTTTTCCCTTAAAGGCAATATAATGAAATTACAAGAGAAAATGCCTTAATAAAGTATCAGTTGTGTACTATATCGTGTTTAACCCTCATTGCCAATATTTTAAGTTGTTAAGCTTCGTAAGCCTGTGGTTCCCAGGGCTGCCTCGCTTTTTCTGTATAAAGCCAGGATCCACTGTTCCCTTGTTACCCAGCAGGTGAGTCATGGTTCAAGTGCGGTCACAGCTGCTGCCACGCTTGCTGTGTGAGGCTGTGCTCCCCCAGCGCTGTCACAACTGAAGGCGTGGCACCCACGAGAAATGAACCTCTGGGTGTTTGGGAGACAGCTCCTGCTGTTGCCGCCAGGCACGGGTGTGAGTTTTGAACATCTGTCTGTAGATGTCTCTCCATCAGTTCTCACAGATCACTATGGCTTCTAGATAGTTCTCACTCTTAACACAGTTGCCATTACATTGAGTAAGTGCCTTCCACGGGTAAGGATTTTGTCATGTTGACCTTTCTGCACTGTGATTTGGTTCCATGAGTCCTTCCTTATAAACATTAAATGTAGGGGCTGGAGAGATGGCTCAGTCATTAGCAGTTGTTGGCTGCTCTTTCAGAGGTCCCAGGATCAGTTCCCAGCACCCACATCAGGCAGCTCACAATCCCCTACAACTCTACTTCCAGATATGGTGCCCTCTTCTGGCCTCTGTGGGCACCTACACACATGTGGTACACATATAAACAAGTAGTCACACACACAGAAAATAACAAAAAACTATGCAGATTTTATAGTATAGTATTTCGTTAATTTTGAACTTTACTTTTCAGTCTGTCATTTAGAAAGGCCAACCTTAGAGGCTAGCTAGGAAAAAACACTACTTCTAAGTAAATTACTTTAATCATTGCATATATTATTTTATGTTTTTGCTTTGTCATGTATTTTAGAAACCTTAGTTAACGGGTAAAGAATTAGACCTGGGATACCTACTTTAATGCCAAGGTGAAAATGGACTGTAGCACTTAAGATACCACTTGCTCTGTTTTTGTTAACTGATGCAAGTTCACACCATTAGGGTGTCAGTGTTTTGATACAGAGCAAATCTCATCAAAATCTTTCAGGTAAGCTTAAGAGTGAATTCTCAGTACTTCTTTTTAAACAGTGTGCGTGTGTGTGTGTGTGTGTGTGTGTGTGTGTGTGTGTGTGTGTGTGCACGTATGTGCATGCATGCACACACACATGCCATGGCACACATGTGGAGATTATGGGACAACTGTGAAGTCAGTTCTTCCCTTCCACCTTTCCACAACTCCTGGAGATCAAAACAAGCACCTTTACCCTCCATACCAGTTCACTGGCCTCACTTTTTTAAAAGCTGGATTTTGATATTTACAATCCATAATCCAGAGAACTCAATTACAAGTTTTACAAGGGCATCAAGGACACAACTGGTAAGAGTTTTCTTAATTCCTACTTGTTTTCATTTCAGTAGCTAGCCTATATATACTCTCAACTGAATAAGCAAAATGAAAGTAAATCCCAATGCAGAATTCTTATAAAATCCCTAATAATTCACATCTCAACTTTGATTATTAAGAAAATACAGTGGAGGCCGTGTACGGTCAAGGCAGCTAGTTGTGTAGGCCGAACCACTCTCTGCACTTAAAGAATGCCTGTGTTTCCTGAAGATCTCCAGCCGCAAATGCCAATGCCATAGTCTGAGCCAGTCCGGCTTCCCACTGAAGACCTCCAGCCTGCACTCTCTAGTGCCTGCTCTTAGTCTTCTATCTGCAACACTGATGGCCCCTACCCTCTGGGTGAAGCAGAGGGTGGCATGCATTTTGTTCACCTTCTGGATCTGCTCAGCATATTCTTTCTTTGGTGTTTCATAAATGAGATCCATGCTTGAGTTTACTTCCTGCAGTTTTCATCTGAGATACCATGACCATAGCAGTTCTTATAAAGGAAAACATTTAATTGGGCCTGACTTACAGTTCAGAGGTTTAGTTCGTTATCATCATGGATGGAAGCATGGTGGCATACAAGAAGACAAGATGCTGGAGAAGGAGCTGAGAGTCTATAGCTGGACTGGCAGGCAGCAGTAGACCTGGCTTGAACTTCTGAAACCTCAAAGCCCACCCCCAATGACAACACTTCCTTCAACACCTAAGGGTGCCGCTCCCTGGTGGCCAAGCATTCAAATCTATGAGCTATGGGGGCCATTGCTTTGCAAACCCCCCACATTCTCCAACCACTGTATTCACCTCAGAGAACACAGCTCCCCTGCCACCAAGATCAGTCTGAGCCATGACAGCCCAGAAGCCTGTCTTCGGTCCTGACACACTTCCAGCTCTTGACTCCTTTCCACATGGGTCAAGAGAAGTGTCCTGGTATGAGGCAGAGCTGCTCCACATGCCAAGAGCCTAGTTTCTCCAGATTGGATTTGTTTGAGAAAAAACCATAGCCCTCAAAACAGTGTCTTCTCTAGTCAGTAAGTCAGCATGGCAAACTGAGATCACTGACTTTGTGTTATTGTGTATCTTTATGTCTGTTCCTCCCTTGGCACTGTAGAACCCTTGTGTGTATTGCTTGGACACCACCACTTCCTGCAGTTTCTGGCAATGTGCTTTTTAAAGGGCCTGATAGTGAGGCTCACATTTAGCCTTTCACCTGTTGTCACATAAGGCATTGTCATTTCCCAAACCATGCTTAGGCAACCACACTGTTAAGATTAGTCTGGGTAAAGGTTTCCTGTCACATGTAGGACATCCTGGCTCTGGTCCCTGGTCCATCTTGTGCAGCATTCCCCATGTCTTATGTGGTGTAGGCTATTGTCAACACTGCAGCCTTGTGCTATTGAGGGTGCGAATTTCCAGGCACCGCCTTGGAGGCAGAGACTGAAACATCAGCAGACAGGTTTCTCTTTCCCCTCAGCGGGTCATCCTTTTCCTTCTCTTGTGGCTAGTAAATACTATTCTTGATGCAATGGGAAATTTCAAGTTCTAAAGGCTGGAAAGCCAAGGCCTGGGTGCCAGCAGACTGAGATCTGGTTTGCAAATGGCCTCCTCACTGACTGTTGACTGTGGCAGAACAAGAAGGAGCAAGTTCCCTCTAGGTGTTTCTCAATTGGTATGTGTGGCAATTTGTAACAGTTTATTTCATTTCTGCTTAGAAAAAGAAGATGGTGAGGTTTCTCTTCCTTTTTCTTTAGTTTTTAGGACAGGTTCTCGCTGTTACCTGGTCTGGCCTTCAACTCAATGAGCTCTGCTTCAGCCTCCTGAGTAGCTGGGACTACTGACATGCATCACTTTGCCCAGCTGAGTAATACATTTATTTAGTAGTATTGAGATTTCAGATTGTGTGCTGTTTACAAAGTGATTCCCTGGCTGGCATGAAATCCCAGCACGTAGCCTGAGGCAGTAGAGTTTGGTTCAAGGTCACCCACTGCTCTGTGTCCTATCCTCAAGCTTAAATTCTAAAAGGAAGTTTACAAAAAAAAAAAAGGTATGTGATGGCTTGCACCATCTCTGTGAGTTCAAGGCCAGCCTGATCTACAACAAAGAGAGTTCCAGGATAGACAGACTCAAAAACCAAACCAAAAGAAAAAAAAGCTTACTGATTCCCAGGTTACTCTTTCCTATCTGGTAGGGACTCAGTCTTTGTATCCTCCCTAAACTACTGCAGATGGGCCTTTGGAAGGCAGAGGGAGAAAAAGTATGCACACACATAACATAAAGTCATAAAGTATGATTTCACATACCTGCTTTATTTCTGTCTCAGTCTTGTGGATGAATTTGGTTTGGCTTTGCTTGAAGCCTGAATACCTGAATAGAGCTTTATGACAATGCATGTTTCTCTGTCCTTTGAAGCTGGGTATCAAATAAGGTTTCTCTGATACTAACATATCAAAACACCAAATGCTTTGTAAGTGGAAAAACAATGAATTTTCTGGCATTTAAATAACAAGTATTATCCACCCAGTTTATAACAGGGTAAAGTTTCTTTTGAAGACTAGACTATAGGCATTTAAAATATACTAAATACTGATACAAATAGCTTTATTAAAGTTCATCAAATATCCTATATTCAGACTTTTTTTTAAAAAAAAAATCACATCACTTTAGTTTTAGAATTCCAACATTCATCCCATTCTCCTTGAAGAACATGCTTATTGTGGGGGAGGGGAGTGGATGAGAACAAAGTATAACAATACATGTATGACAATGCCACTGCGAAGCCCACTGCTTTGTATGCTAGTCCTATTTATTAATTAATTCCCAAGATACACTCTTATTACAGACTCAAAATTTTTATCCTCCCCAAATTTCTGTTCTGAGGTCCCTAACGTACAGTAGTAGTGTTGGGACTTGGAGATGAGCCTCGGGAAGGCAATTAGGGGTGTACAAGTTTCCCAAAGTGGGACTCTCTCATCCTGAACTAGTATGTGTCTAAGAAGAGACAGGAGAGTCACCACCATGTGAGGACCAGCAAGAAGGAGCTAATTGTTTCCACGCCCTCACTAGGACTGAACCTTGACGCTAGGAATATGAGGAATTCTGTAGCCTCACTACCATGCGTTTCCCTCTTGAACCATACATCTTCTCATCCGTGTCCCACTGACTGCGGGGACAGGGTAGGGGTGGGGGTACAACTGACACCCAATGTCCTTTGCCTGACTATATTATCTGTTTTTTTGTATATGTCAGCTTAGTTTTATGGACAGACAAGAATGAATGCTGTTATTCAACTGAACCATAGGAAATTACTGCTTGTTGGAGACAAGGTCCCACTACAGTTCAGGCTGGCCTCAGACTCACAGCAGTCCTCCTGCCTCTCTGTCTTTCAAGTGCTATAGTTAGGCGTGAGCTGTAATTCAGCCATACCTGGTCAAAAATCACTGTTTTATGAGTAAAGGTGGCCATGTTCTTTGGCCTTCTGAGGATGGTGAGTCAGGGAGGTTCAGTTGCCCAAGCTGCAGCTCTCCTAAGTGTAACAGGAGGCGCGTGGATCAGTGCCTTCATGTGTCCTCTCAAACAACCCAGGTAAAAGTGCTGAGCCCAGGGACCAACAGTTTGCATAGCTAACCACATTAATACAAAAGTGCCAAACCGTTTTGCCCTTCAAATGTTGAGCTTTTTTACAGGGTTTGTAGAGTTGGCCTAGAGGTCCTTGGGTATATCAGAGGCTCAGAGTCATCACCATGTAAAGCAGGAGTTCTCAACCTTTATGTTGTGAACCTTCCAACCATAAAATTATTTGTTGCTACTTCATTACTTTAATTTTGTTACTGTTATGAATCATTATGCAAATTATCTGATAAGCAGGATACATGATATGTGACCCCTGTATTCTGAATGGATCCAAATGCTCTTTCTGGAGCTAAATCTAACCAAAATGTTTTTACTATGTACTGTGTATTTTATAGTGCTATAAAAATTTAAATGGGGTCGGGTGTAGTGGCACACACATTTAATCTCAGCCCTTGGGAGGCAGAGACAGACAAATCTTTGTGTGTCCCAAGTTCCAGGCCAGCTTAGTCTCTCAAAAAATATGTGTGTGTGTGTGTGTGTGTGTGTGTGTGTGTGTGTGTGTGTGTGTGTGTATGAGAATGGTTTCTGCATGGACCATCTCATTGGTTCATGTGGGTCAAAACAATCATTCTTACTTAAATATATTTGAGGGGTTGGGGGGGTATACCTAAGTAGTAGAATGCATGTTCAGCAGACAGGAAGCCCTAGATTCAGTCCCAACGCAAACAGAAAACTAAGGACTTGAATTTGATAGACACCAGTGTACATTTCCTTTTACTTTTCAGTCTTCCTCTTCACCCCTTGGCCTCTTTCTGGAAGGTTCATCCCCTGAAGAAATATGAAAGATAGGTTATAAAATTCATATAAGTTTTTTTTTTTTTTTTTCTGGCAGCCTTGTCCAAAGTATTTTAGAACTGGCAGGAGAAATTTGCCCTAGAGACCTGTGTTCACACATCACCATCTCTGGGCAGCTAGTCTCCTGGGACTTGGGTTTCCCTGGGTGGCTATCATGGTATCATGGTAGGAGGGATACTTTTCATTCAATATGGTAGTTCTGTCACATTATTTGAAATACATTATTTTGTCTCAGTACTTCTATAAAATTAAAGTATTTTAAAGTCTGATTTTAGAGACTGGAGAGATGGTTCCTTCAGAGAACTCGGGTTCAGTTCCCAGCACCCACGTGGCAGCTCATAACCACCTGTAACTCTAGATGAGGGGTGGAGGGTCCCATCATGTCTTCCAGCCTCCACAGGTATTGCATACATGTGGTATGCATGCAAAGAAAACACTCACAAATAAAAAAATATAAAGACTGAATTTTAAGAATGCTTAGGTATGCTTGTGGTTTTGTTTAGAAAGGTTTACAGGTGTACATACGCATATAAATGAATTAACACGTAGCCACTATTTAAACATTAATATGACTGTGATGTTTATCCTTGCTCCTAACCTGGAGCAAGTTAAGTGCTCAGAGGTACTGAATGTCCCAGGATCGACAGCATGGGGCCTCTGGCGTAATCATGACATCCAGGGTCCTTGTGGTCTTACAAGAGAAGGGAAACAAAGACCGTGGGAACTGGCACAGCCTGAGGTAGCCCTCCATTGCTGCGCCATGCTATCCAAACAGCAGGCACCCATTTCTCCACACTCAGCATTTGCCATTCTCTAGAGGAGCCTTGCTGCCTCAGGACCCTCTGCCCTGCCTTATGCCCTCTCTGTGTAGCTGAGATGCCTCACCCTGGCCTGTGGTTTTGCAAATTTCTCTTCACTTTTTCAGGAGTCTGTGTGGCCTCCTGAGACCCACCCCTGCCAGACAGCAGAGTCTCTGGCTCTTATTACTTGTGTCAATTGTGTCAGTGAACCGTAAGCTGTGCTCCTGCTCTGAGAGCTGGCTCTGGATACGAGGTCACCCTAGAACTGAACAGATGTAGCTTACCCCTGTCACTCATGAGTTTCTTGGCTTTAAGTAATCTTCCGGCCTTATCTTCTTCAGATCCTTCATCATCATCATCATCTGAGGAAGGTGGAGCTTGTTTCTCTGAAAGCAAACAGTTTTTAGGAACGGGGTTGACCTTGGGAGGGACCCACCTTTGCCTGGCTGCAGCCATGATCCTCCGACACACACACATATGTATAACCCTCACCTGCCTTCCCTGCCATTTTCCAGCACACTGTAGATGAACACAACCATCAAAATAGCTATGGAGCTTTTTGTACAGATCCGATACCGTGAGTGCCAGCAATATGGTGACACCTTCGGTATTTGTTCCCTGTAATTAGGCACTTCCTGCTTTGCATAAAAGCCAGCGCGGTCCCTTCATAAGCTCCTGCCCTCTCACCCAGGCTGCAAGGGTCCAACACTCTTGTGCCATCCTTGCCCATAACGCTGCTGGTGTGTCCCCAGTAACCTGCCTCCTGCAGTCCTCACTGGCCTGTCTGCGTCATTACTCCCAGCATGTTCTGCCAGGCTCTTCAAGCTGCATCTTCCCAGAACAGCCTTCAAAGTGGAAGACTTATTCCTGACTTTCACTTTTACTGAATATTGTCATTCACACTATACTTTTTGAGAAATAAACAAAATATTGGCTTTTTGTTTGGTTGTTGTTTTCTTTGCTTGTCTGCCTTTTTAAGTTTCAGTAGAAAGAACTTTCACATGAGCTGAATGACAGCTTGAGACATTCTCTGGTTGGGCAGTCTTAGGTTGAGCACTATTTGGTACCCCAAAGCCTTATAAACACATTGTTGTAGAGGTTTCATTTGTTTGTTTTTGAGATGGTCTCCATTGGCTGTCCTGGTACTTGTTCAGTAGCAGCCCAGGTTAGCCTCCAACTCAATTTCTCCTGCCTCAGCCTCCACACTACTGACTGGAAGCTTCTGCCACCTTGTCCAGTTGTTCATAATATATTTTTTGTTTTTTAATAATTCATTTATTTTATTCTGTGTGCATTGGTGTTTTGCCTGCATGTGTGTTTGTGTGAGGGTGTTAGGTCCCCTGGAACTGGAGTTACAGACAGCTGTGAGCTGCCATGTGGATGCTGGGAATCGAACCCAGGTCCACTGGAAGAGCAGTCAGTGTTCTTAACCACTAAGCCATCTCCCCAGCCCCCAAATACTGAGTATTTAATTGTGCTAATATATGCATTTCTGTCCACAGGTATATACTGTATGTAGAACAGGTATTATGGTTTCTGGAGAGGTCTTATTTTCAATTAACCTTTTCTATGGGTGAGTGGCCCAGCCCAAAGTAAAATGGAAGGGGTTGTGTGTTCTAGTCTTAAATAAATAATATGAGCAAGATGAAGATCCCACCAGAGCAAAACTAGTCCCTGCCTACTGAAATGAGATCTGACACCAACACTAACTTATGTGGACTGCTCCCAGGTAATGGTTTTTAAAGGTAACTAGGCTGGGGGCCTTGCCTTCCTCCTCTTCTTCCTCCTCCTCTTCTCCCTCCTCCTCTTCCTCATCATCACTGTCAGGCTGCTGGATGGTGGAACTTGGACCAGGCTGGTTCTTCCTCTTCAAATGTAAGTTCTGTTTCGTAGACATCCTGGGGCGTTCTTTTTTCTGTTTAAAAAATAAAATAAAATAAAGCAAACTTTGGACTTAAAAAAGAAATGAACTCTTTTCTGCAGGCTGCGGTACCATGCAAACCCGTTTTTAAAGCAGTTTGATGCCCCCGGGAGCGGTATACGTCCTCTGCTGATGCCACTCACAACTCAGAAGCCTGAGGAACCCTTTCTGAAAAGAAGAGGCCCTCCGGGGCAGCTGAAGCTGGCTGTGCACACCCCCTAAGCTGCCCAAGCTCCCCCCACCGAGCTTCCCAGACATTCCTACTGTGGTCTTCAATGCAAATAATACACCCCAGGGTCTGACAACAGACCAAGGAGACTGCCAACTCCTTGGGAACGCCCAGCATGCCACCCTTTGGAGTTAAAAAGAGCTGAGGCAGCTGCAGCTGGCAGGAGCGCATTGGAGTAAACAAGGTACGTACAACAATATGGAATTGCTTCAAGTAAGAATGAAAGGAAGGAACAAATACGAGAGATTTTAAAACAACAAGGAACAGACATTAAGAGTAAAGCTGCAGACACCATAGAGAAAGTTAGTCCTTGGTTTCTGACCAGGGGAGGACTTAATGTTCCTGATTGGGAGCAAGTGAAATCAGACTTGCAGAAGAAGCCACATAAAGAGGGTCCTGACGGAGTTAGTCAAAGTTGCCTTACTAACAGACAAGTTAAAGTGAAAAAACAACTAGAGACAACCAAGGAGGCTTTTAGAGAGGTCAAAGAGGAGGAAACTAACGAAAAGTAACAATTAGTCAGACCCCCAGTAAAGAGAATGATACAAAATGGTTAACATCTTCTGAGTCCAAGTAGCAGGAGGAAACTTTAATAGAGGGAATGGAAGAACTGCCATAAGCTGCTGCATTGTCATAAAAAACTCATAGGGGACAAGGTCGTGAGGGTCTTTCTTCAGATAAGGGAGATGAGGATATAGCAACAACTGTTAAAAGAAATGCTGCTGGATTGATCCAATTTATAGATTTTAAACATGCTTTGACTCCAAAATTTAAGTCTAAGGACGGGTTACTGGGGAAAAGGATTTCTATTTTTGTTTCCACAGAAAATGAAAAGCTGTGGATTCCTCCCAGACTAATATGGTTTGATCAAGCAAGACCCCCTGAAACAGTGTTCCAGGTGATCCTACATTCAAAACAGCTTGGACAAGGCAGCCCTCCAGACTACAGCTAGGATTTCTGTGTCTTCTTAGGATCCCCTCAACAGCGCCCCCTACCAGCAGGAAGCAGTTTGGAAAGAATGACGCCCAAAATCCCAAATACTGTTTGCAGAGAAATGACTGAAAAGGGGGTTTTTAAAACAAAATTGGTAAAATTTCATGTCCCATGTGAGGGAATGGGTACAGCACTGGTCGGGGTCTACTGTGTTATCCCTACTTGGGGTTCTGGGTATCAGTGCCTGCATCTGGATTCTGCAACCAGTACAATAGACAGGCAAGTGTCACCTGACAGACACTCATGGCCTTGGCAGTGTAACCTAAGTCAGTCTAAGTGGCTGCAGATGCTGGAGAAGTGATAACCAATGAAGGGCAACTGCTAGCAGGATCAATGCTGCCTAAGACACGGAATGATGGGAGCATTTCCCCATGACAAGGGTGAGGTATTTGTTCCCCAGGTGACCTAAGCCAGGTATCGCTTTATTAAAAAATAAAAAGGGAGGAACTGTTGGGAAATTTAAGTACTTGTCCCTTACAGCTGTCTTCTCCCCACCCAGCTGTAGAACTTCCATGCAGACAAGGTTGAGCAAACAAGGTTGTTTTCAGAACTTTCCAGTGTGCAGTGCAGGTACCTTGACCCTAGGAGTGGGTGGTGCATGACTTCCTCCTATGCTTAGCCCATCCCCTGGCTTGGGTATATAAACCCATTACTCTAAACAGTGGCAGCAGCTTCTTCTTTAAAAAAAAAAAAAAAAAGAAAGAAAGAAAGAAAGAAAGAAAGAGCTAAGCCAGTGTCAAACGAGTCTCACCTTCCTGTTTTCTTCTTTTTTCTCCCTGTGGTACCCAGGAGTCAAACCCAAGGCCTTGCATTCTGCTGCTAAGCTGTACCCAAAGAACTTGGTGATTTTTTTTTTTTTTTTTTTTAAGTTCAGAAAATAGCCCTTAAGGTACAAAAGGTCCCAACATAAAGCTTACCTGACATGCCTGAATCAAATCTGTGCGAGGCCACTCAGGGTCGCGGCCAGCCATCGGTAAGATTCGAAGCTGTGTCTTTGAACTTCTGTTCCCAAATGAAAGGGTCATCTTTTTATATGTGGCACTGTCTGTACAGTGAGGTCTGTCAGGAAGTGAACAGGAAATAATCTGTCTGTTTTACCAAGAACACCATGACCTCACACTTGAGCAGAGAGAGGAGGCAGCAGGACCACAGTTTCCCTCAGCTCACCACTCTGGGAAAGTAAAGTGAACTGACCCAGAGTACCAGGGGAGAATCCAGTGGCCAGATCAAGTGCTTTCACAAATACACCCAACTGCAATCATAGACAAGAGTCATGAGATCTCAGATCCACAAGGTGGAGCAATTACTACAGGAACATTTAGGGAACTAAAAGATGTTCCCTCCCACCCAATAAAGTAGGATGGTTTAAAAAAAAAAAAAAAAAGTAGGTGGCCAAGAGTGTGGTCCTGTCTCAAAAACAAAGCAAGCCACCATGGCATGAGGGGCCTCAACAGCTCAGGATGAGACAAGGGTCTCAGCATGGAAGCAAGCTGTAATCACCCAGGCAAAGGCAGGAGGATTGCAAGCTTGAGGTGAAGAGGGACGGTAAGTTCAAAGCCAGCCTGGGTTACGTAGCAGCATGGTCACAAACGGTAGGTTCCTTCCTGCGTATAGGAAGACAGCTTGAAACTGGGTCATTAAGACTGAAGAAAGGACATAAGGAAAGGAACTGTGCCAAGCGGTGAAATACTACCCCAGGGTAGAGCTCGGAGCAAGGGTAGAAAGCAAAAACTAAGAACTGCACATGCTTCAGGATACGTCTAAAAACTATTCCTAAGTGGGAAGGTCGAGCACTCACTGTGCCAGGTTTATGAACTATTTAACACAACATCCCTGTGACACATATTTTATAGCTAAGGAAACTGCAAACTAGTGAGACTGAGACCCTCAAGACTATATACCCTTTCAGTTGTTCAGTCTCTTTAAAAGCCAACACATTTACTAATGATGTACACCCCAGTCTCTTTTAAGTTTTTAATTTACAAAGTTGTGCAACCATGACCACAACCTGATTTAAAATACTCCAGCATCTTCAAAGGAGCCATAGTAGTAAGGTATGTCTTTAAGAGGGTGGGCCTGGGGGCTAGAGAGATGGTTCAGTGGTTAAGAGCACTGGCTGCTCTTCCACAGGACCTGGGTTCAATTCCCAGCACTCACATGGTAGCTCACAACTATCTCTAACTCTAGTTCCAGGAGATCCGAGACTCTCACACAGATACACATGCAAGCAAAACACCAATAAAATGAACAAATAATAGAAAGAAAGAAAGAAAGAAAGAAAGAAAGAAAGAAAGAAAGAAAGAAAGAGAGGATGGGCCAAAGCAAAGCTGGCCCTGCATCTGCTTGGCCTTGGCCCGGTGTCTTGAGTGGGCAATTGGTCACACCTGTTGTACGCACACACCAGCTACTTTTGAAAATGCACTGGCCATCAAGAAGCCACGAACCAGTTCCTTGTAAGTTTTCATAGCATGAGCTGGTTCCCTGAGAAACTTGCAGTCAACTTTCAAAACTTGTCTTGAAACCAGACGTGGTTGTGAGCTGTACAATGGAATGACGTCAGTCCAAAGGGTCAGGCTTTTCGCATCACAGCTCTGCAAGTAGCAACATGTGTATATAGAAAGTTACCTAAAGGTAAGTCTGGATTTAAAGATGGCTTGTCCCCGGAGACCAGTGTCTTCCCGTATAAACAATTGGTTGTGGTTATCCTGCAGTGGGGCTTTGTAGACATCGAACACTTCACTGCCTAAATGCAGGGACATGCTGGAGAGTGGAAACAATTCGGAATTAGGATGCTTAGTGACTAGCACAGGACCCTGACCTCTTATAGAAGTCATAGAAACAAAAGATGCTCTCAATAGCCTCCTTCCAAGCTGGGTATGGAAGTGTTTGCCTGTAACCCTAGCACTGGGGAGATGGATCAAGGGAATCAGGAGCCCACAGTCAGGGTCAGCTACAAAGTGAGTACTGGAGAAGGACAGACTATGGAACACACAGTCTTGTTTGTGTAGCCATGGCTGTCCTAGAACTTGCTATGTAAGCCAGGCTGGCCACAAACTTACAGAGATCAGCCTGCCTCTGCCACCCCAGTGCTAGGGCTGAAGATGTGTGATACCACACCAGGTGAGACCCTGTCTTTTTTGTTGTGGTGGTATATTTTTTTGAGACAAGGTTTCACTGTGTAACACTGCCTGTCCTGAAACTCACAGATCTATCGGCCTCCGCCTCCCAAGTGCTGGGATTAAAGGCATGCACCACCACTGCCCAGCTTCATTTTTGCTTTTTAAGAAAGAGTCTCAGCTGGGCAGTGGTGGCACAGGCCTTTAATCCCAGCAGTTGAGAGGCAGAGGCCGGTGGATCTCCATGAGTTCAAAGCTGGCCTGGTCTACAGAGTGAGTTCCAGGACAGCCAGGGCTACACAGTGAAACCCTGTTTTCAAAAACAAACAAAAATGAAGTCTCTCCTCTTGGTGGTGGCTTGAATAAGAATGACTCCTAAATTTGCATACTTGGCCCCCTTTCTCGTTGCTTGGGTAGGTTTAAGAGGTGTGGCCTTGCTAAGGAGGTATGCCACTGGGGGCGGGTCCTGAGGTTTCAGAGCCCCAGACCCAATTAGCTCACTCTCTGGTTCCTGCTTGGCTTGAGAGATATGAGTCTCAGCTGTTCGCACCACCATGCCTACTGCCTGTTGCCACAGTTCCCGTGATGGACCCTTATCCCTTTGGAACTGTAAGTCCAAGTGAACTCCTTCTCTAAATTGCAGTGGTCATTGTGTTCTATCAGAGCAATGGAAAAGCAACTAATATACACTTCCGAGCCAGAAGTGGTAAAACATACTTTTCAGCTTGAAACAGCGTTGTCTTACAGTATCTTTCCATCTGTATCTTTGAATTAGCAAACTGAAATGAGTTCTCAAATAATTTCAGCTTAGGGGCTAGGGCCATAGCTCAGTGGGTACCACACTTGCCATGTTCATAGGAAACACTGGCTTTGACCCCCAGCACTGCCAAAAAAGGTTATTTCAAGTTACCCTGAGGTTTCAAACGTTATGCCTGTAGCCAGGAAGACAGAGCAAAGGGATCTGATCAAATCAGGCCAGATCCCCACACTTCCACTAGCCCAGCTGTAAGGCCTTGACTCTGTCTGCTTCTCTCTCTCGTTTCTGAGGTAATGCCAGCAGCCCAGGTTTTCTCAACAAAGTCCTACATAAGAAATCCCACCTTACCCAGGCCTCCCTCAGGTGTTCCAGAACTCACCTTCCATCCGACCATTTAACCATCCGAGCATTGCTTTCTTTAATTTTATACCCTTCTTCATCCCGGCATATTCTCCAGCGTATAGTATTTTCCACCTGGTTTGAAAGGCGAGGTATTAGGCAACCAATTTAGCCAGCTATTTGGTTTTCTGTTCCTCAAATGATTCTTAATCATATGCTAAGAGTTGATGGGTGGTAAGAAAATGCTGACTCAGCAGCACTGTCAACAATTTACTACAGGTGTCTGGGCATGTCGGTTAAGCTAACCAGGCATTGCATTCTGTTTACTTTTCCTGAGGCCCAGGTCAGAGCAGTGGGAGGAGAGGCTGAACAGGATACAGCCTGTAGCCACAGCTAAGAGCTCCACAGGAAAGAGGAGGGAGGACGTTAGTCCACGCAAGCGGAAATGGACACGAGCTGAGGTGTAACACAGAGGCAGAGCACTTGCCTAGCACGTATGAGATTCCCCAGTTCTATTCCCAGCACTGTTTTACACACACACACACACCTAGCAGCAAGTTAAGATGAGAAACCTAGCTGAGCAGTGGTGGTGCATGCCTTTAATCCCAGCACTAGGGAGGCAGGGGCAGGCAGTGTGAGTTTGAGGCCAGCCTAGTCTACAAAGCTACATAGAAAAAACCTGTCTGGGAGAAAATCTGAGACCTATGCTTAGTTGTGTTTGAGTCCAAATTAACTCATGAAATAGAGAACTACAAGTCACAAAGACCACTAAAAATGGACCATACTTAGAGTTACCACCTGTTTTGAGAAGGCAACATGTCTACATTAACAATGGTAGTACTTTGTCATTCCAGGTATTCTCAAGAGAAATTCCCTAATGGCTAGGTCTGCTGCTGTGCACAAAGTAAGTCTCCATGACAGGTGGGAGGAAGCTGCTAGGATATTTGTAGGAGAACGTGGGAAGACAGGCCCATACGCCTACAACATTGTGTATCTGAGGGCAGCTAATGAGTTTCAACGGTTACTACCTTTACTTCCATTAAAACCTAACACTGAGATCTGGGCAATGGAGGTCCACACCTTTATCCCGGCAGAGACAGGCCAATCTCTTTGAGTTCAAGGCCAGCTTGATCTACAGAGGGAGTTCCAAGATAGCCTGGGCTACACAGAGACCCCCCTGTCTCAAAGAAATAAAAGATAAAAATAAAAACTGAAAACATTAGCAAAGTGTCAATTCTAGAGGAGAGAGGAAAGGTGTGTGCTTTACTGCCCTAAATATCTGCATCTGCCATTACTTCCATGTTCTAGTGTTATTTGCTGAGTAAACAGGAAACATGAGGAACATTCTCAAGCTTGGGTCTCCTGTGATCAACCCTGAGTTTACTGTCTAAAGAAAAAAACTTAGGCGGTGGTGGTGCACGCCTTTAGTCCCAGCACTCGGGAGGCAGAGGCAGGTGGATCTCGGTGAGTTCGAGGCCAGCCTGGTCTACAACTTCCAAAGCCACAGAGAAACCCTGTCTCTAAAAACCAAAAAAAAAAAAAAAAAAAAAAAAAACCAGATAAAACTTAGGGGGCTGGAGAAATGACTAGTGGTTAAGAACCCTTGCTCTTTCAGAGGGTCCAGGTTTGCTTCCCAGCATCCACAGAGTGATTCACAACCATCCATTAATTCTAGTTCCAGAGACCTCCATGTCCTCTTCCGACTTCTGTGGGTACCAGGCACAAGCATGGTGGACGTACATACTACATGCAGTCAAAACACACACACACACGAGTTAAGTAAGTATGGGGGGGGAATGTATGGAGGAACTTAGGCTGGCATGTAGTGTATGCCTGTGGCCACAGCTCCTCAGATGGCTAAGGTGAGGGGACACTAGAAGAAAAAAGGAATAGAATATGGAATAATACCTTTAGTTTTAACCTAGTTTTGTCTTCCTCATAAAGCACTTTCTCATCTTCAAATTCATCTTCATAAAGCTGAGGGTCAAAAGGCCTAAAAATGTTTGCCATATTAGTCATAATTAATAGTTGATTGACACTATAAACCAATTGTCTCTACCACATACATCACAGCCGACAGATGACTTCATGAGACCCTTCAGGAAGTATGCCAATGACTACGTTCTTGAAATTTCTTTTTTAAGACAAAACTTCCTGAAATAAAATCTAAACAGGGCTTTAATTCAAAATCCTCTTTGAAGAAACAGATTTTTATAAATACCTGACCCTTTCACATTTTTAAAAACAAAACAAAACAAAAAACAAGACCTCTTGAGCCAGGCATGGTGGCACCTGCCTTTAATCCCAGCACTCGGGAAGCAGAGGCAGGGGGATCTCAAGGCCAGCTTAGTCTGCGTATGTAGTTCCAGGACAACCAAGGTTACATAGTGAGATGCTGTCTCAAAAAAAAAAAAATTCCTTAGCTTAATTAGCCAATATCTGGGCATGGCATCTTTATATTTTAAAACAACAAATAAGTAAAAGTTAACAACAAATTAAAACCTGAGACCTCTCTTTAGTTCAGGGATAAAAATTTACCCCATGGAGTTTGTGCCTGTGTACCTCAGTGAGAACAGCCAACACTATTTTGTTGTCAAAGTTACTATCTGGTCTACATTCAGTGTCATTTACACTGGCCACCCATGATTTTTCTGGCATCTCATTCTCATTCCATATGTTCAGTTTTACATGAGTGACATTGTCACATGACACCTGTTCATTGACAGCAGAGAGCAAAGGGCTAAGACTGCTAGCGGCCTAATTCTCTGCAGTTACTTATTCTCTTGCTTTCCGCCACACGAGAAATCCTTCGTCTTATGATGGGTCAACTCCTAAAAGTTGACTGACATTTTATACAGTTCCTTTTTTCAATCTCTTGAATGTTTTATTCAGTTCTCTTACTTGGGTTCTATCCTGAGAAATCTAGGTAGTTTAACAAAATATAATTCATTTCCTAAGTCAGAAGTGATGCTGGGAATCTCTATTTTTATTCTGGTTTCAGAAATTCGCCGTTCCACATGCTGGTTCTGAGGTACTCCATGTCCGCCCTAAGGGAGGGGTCAGAATGGGAGATTGTGAAGAGACAGGAGAAATGTTCCAGATGTGTTCTATGTGGCAGACACAGGTTTGAAAAGAAGTCAGACACCACTTTATGGATAACCAGCCATCCCTTTGTCCAGGCCTCTCCCCCCCAAACCCTATCCTAGCCACACCCACAAAGAAAAACAACAACAAATTCCATGGGGAATAAGATATACTCTCAAGCATTACTAGGAAGGTGTGTTTTGTTGCATAACTGTTTTTCTATTTTGCATGACATTCGAGAACTATAAATCAACCCTTCATTACCAAGTAACTACTAAATTCAGAACAGACTGTCAACATTGCCCATACAGCACTGCATAGCTGTGGGTAAGAAAGACCTTTTAAACTAAAGGCTTGCATGTCAAGAGTCTCAGCCCTGTGCCTGAGCTTGGCGTTGGCCTCATTCTAATGGTTCCTTCTGTGCCTTCTAATTATTTCCCAGATGCCCAATTTAGCTAAGAATGTGAGCATCCAATTAGTCCTCTATGAACACTGCCTCAGCATGAGACAAACCTCTCATGGACCTTGTCTGATCCTTTTCTCCTAGCTTTCAGTTCTGTGATCGGATAGGATTGCTTGACTACTCACAACAGGCTGTCTTGGAACACGTGTTCGCTGGTCCTCATCACTCTCTGAGGAGATGTCATCTATATCTCCAAACAGATCCATGTTCCCACTATAATCTTCAGGGTGGAGGGAACAGACATTATGATTTGGTCTAACGCAAATTATTTTAAAATTTTTGTTTTTAATTATGTGCATGGGTGGAGGGTAATAATACATATACATGAGTGCAGGTGCCCAGTGGAGGCAAAGAGGAAGTCAGGTTCCCTGGACCTAGAGTTATAGAGGGTTGTGAGCTGCCTGACATGGGTTCTTGGAACTGAATTTGAGTCCTCTGCAAGAGTGAATGCTCCCCCAACCCCCTAACTAGAGTCCTCTATGTAGTTCAACACATTTCCAGTATTCACAGACCAAATCTCCAGCTGGTTCTCCACGCCTGACCTTTAGCAGCACCACTAGAATGTCGTTAGAGAAGGAAGGAGGTAAAGTCCCCAGAGTAAGCACTTTGAGAATGGTTCCCAGCATTTGGGGATAGCCTGGACTACATGAGACCCTGTCTTCAAAACAGTGATTCCACTGATTGTGACCCTTTCTTGCACCCTCTCCATCATACCACAGCTAATCTATGGGATCAGTGATCTATTGCCTCAGTTCCAAAGTTGGACGGTGAATAATGCTCTGTGTGTGTGTGTTTTCTGCCTTGTCTTTCTTGAGTCACTCACTGTGAGGGAAGTTGCCTTTGATATGAAGATGCCCATTGCCTATGGGGACTCCCATCCATGTGATGAGAAACAGGGGCTGTATGAGCTAGCTTCACACTCACTCTATTATCTGGGCACATGAAGACTGGCATCCTGAAACAGTAAACAGTTTAACAGGTCAGACTGCCAAAAAAGTAAAACCAATCCTAGCCCTGAAATATATCCTAGATTTTAAATTCACCACCAAGGTTTTAGCACATTTATCTCTCTCTCTCTCTGTGTGTGTGTGTGTGTGTGTGTGTGTATGTGTGTGTGTGAGAGAGAGAGAGAGAGACAGAGACAGAGACAGAGAGAGAGAGGACAACTTGAAGTCAGTTCTCTTCTACTTGTGTGGCTTCTGGAAATTAAACCGGTTTTCAGGTGTGGCATCCTTACCCACTGAGCCACCTCAGTGGCCCTCTGAAAAGACCAAAAAGACCCATACAGCAAATACCTTGAGCAAAAGAAGACTATTCCACAAAGGGCAGCTATTCAAAATAATAGGAGGGATAATACAAAAAAAATCAACAGCTTAAATCAAATGACCCAGTTATTTGATAATTACAAACCACCAAAATTTACTAAAGAAGAAATAAAACAGTCCTGTTTCTTTTAAGAAACCCAAATTGGTAATTTAATTAAAAACCTATTTTTTTTTTTAATTTAAAAACTGGGCATGGTGGGTAACACATGCCTTTACTCCCAGCACTCAAGAGGCAGATGCAGGCAGCTCTCTGGACTTGAGACCAGCCTGGTCTACCGAGGGAGTTCCAGGACAGCCAGGATTACACAGTGAAACTGTCTCGAAAAATGAAACAAAAACCAAAAACAAGGTGCTGGAGAGATGCTCAGTGGTTAAGAGCACTGACTGCTCTTCCAGAGGATCAGGGTTCAGTTCCCAGCACCCATATGACAGCTTACACCTGACTAACTCCAAGATCTGACACCTTCACACAGACATGCATGCAGGCAAAACATCAATGCACATAAAAAACAAAAATAAATTTAAAAAATATTTGAAATCCAGAGGCTACACTGACAGGTGTTGGTGGCGCACACCTTAAGTCCCAGCACTCAGGAGGCAGAGGCAGGTGGATCTCTGTGAGTTCGAGGCCAGCCTGATCTACAGAGCTAGTTCCAGAACAAGCTCCAAAGCAATACAGAGAAACCCTGTCTCAAAACACCCCCCCCCCAAAAAATGAGAGGCTCCATTGGGTTTTTATAGCTGGACATACTTAACATAAGCCCTAACAAATCAATTAATGTGGCAGATTTGTGATAGACTCTCTTTAAGGTATTTTATCCTTACAGAAAAAAAATTAATGCTATAAACGTTTCCTAAATTGTTTTCTTTCTAAAAATGTGTCAGCAAACCAGACATAGTAGCACACCTAAAATCTCAGCACTCAGGAAGGTGAAGCAGAAGGATTGCCAAGTTTGGGGGCCTAGGTTACATACTGAGAACAGTCTCAAAAAACAACCAAACAAACAAAAGAACTCATGGTGGTGGCTCATGCTGTAATCCTAGCAATTGGGACCTTAATAGAAACAAACGGAGGAAAAAAAAAAATCCAAAAACATAAATTCAAGGACAGCCTGGGCCATATAGCAAAAACACTGCCTACATAAATAAAAATTTAAAAACAAATAAAAATCTAATACACTTAACATTTGGCAGCCAGGTGGTGGTGGCAGGTGCCTTTAATCCTAGTCCTTTGGGACACAGAGGCAGGTGGATCTCCAGAATGAATTCCAGGCCAGCCAAGGCTACCCAGAGAAGCCGTGTCTCAGAGGAGAAAAAAAAAAAAAAAAAATCAGAACAACAATAACTAAATACAGAGAACAACTTTTAGGCCTGAGAAAACACAGGTAGAATTTAAATATTTAGCCAGGTATGGTGGTTCTAACTCCCAGCACCCGGGAGACAGGAGCAGGACTGCTGTCCTAGACTACAAAATAAGACTTTGTCTCAAAAACCAAAGCAAATACCCTCCCCCCTCCCCCCCCCCCAAAAAAAAAAAAAAAACAAACTTGAAATAACTCAGACATGTCTGTAATCTCAGTTCTGGAGGCTGAAGCAGGAGAACTTCCACTGAGGACAGCCTGTGCCGGCTACAAAGCGACACTGTTTCAAAGCAGGCATTTTAAGAGACCCCTCATACCCGAGGAAAGAGCTGTCCGCTGTCCTGATGACTCTGGGGCTAAAGGAGGTTGGTTTTCCTGCTCGCACTCCACACCATTCTGCTGCTGTGGAAAGAACTGCCTCTCTCTCCTGAGGTAAAGAACCGCTGGTGGACCCCTCACAGGAACTCCAAACCAACAGGAAGCCCCCTGAAGCCCCTTAACAGCAAACAGGAAGGAGTAAGTCTCTCCTTGGCTATCCAGCCTTGCAGCTTCCTATAGCGCCCCCAACAGGGCAGCTGGTAAAGGTGAGCACAGCATCCCAAACGGGCTAGGAGATAGGGGAGGTTGGTCACTGCCACATAGCAGGGACACACGGGCACATATTGCTTTGGGAATGATGGAAGCAAATAAGGGTTCTAATGCTAGGGACAGGAGTTTCAACTCAGTAAGCCACAAAATACACAAGAACTTAACATATTAAGTTAGGAAAGGGTTGGGACAGTGATACAGGATTAAGAAAAACAGCTACCATGCACTCTAATCACAGAGCCATACCTCAGCTCCTGTAAAGCAGTATTTTCAAAATCAAAATTAGGAGCTGGAAAGATGGCTCTGTAGTCAAGACTGTGTACTGTTCCTGCACAGGACCTGAGTTCAGTTCCCAGCACCCACACCAGGCATCTCACAACCACCTGGAACCTGTGTAGACCAGGCTGGCCTCAAACTCAGAGATCCGCCTGCTTCTGCCTCCTGAGTGCTGGGATTAAAAGGCATGGTCCACCAATGCCAGGCATTTCTATGGTTTTTAATTTTATGAATTTGGATGTTTGGCCAGCATGTTTGTGCACTGTGTGTATATCTGGGCCCAAGGAGAGTGGAAGAGAGCACAGGATCCCCTGGGATAGAGATCACAAGTTGTGAGCCACTATGTGGGTGCTGGGAATCAAACCCTGGCCTCTGGAGAAACAGCTGGTGCTCTTAACCACTGAGCCATCACTCCAGCCCAGGTTTTACTGTTTTAAATCAACCAACTTTGTGATTTTCTGTTAGGGCAGACCAAGGAAACAAATTACTGGGGGGCTTTTCCTGTACTTTACGAACTCTGTGTGAGTGAAAGCGCCTTGCTTTGTCTTGCTCTAGTCATGTCAGGAGGCTTCTTGGTGTGGGATGAGAGGATGGGGTGGCAGAGCAGCAGAAACTCACTAACGTGGACTCTGTAAAATGCTTGCAAAATCAGCTTGCTCCCCCCCCCCCCAAAAGCAGATTTCTTAAGCATAGGGATTTGCTTTTAAATGTTTTATTACAATTAAATTTTCACAAACACAAATTAATTAATCTCAATCAAAATAACTCATGTTTACATCGTATTTATAGACAAGCTGTACAATAAATATATAAAATGCATTCACAGTTTGTACTTCAGTCATCTTCTTCTTCTTCATCACTGATCACATACTTCTTGTGCTTTTTATTTGCTTTGTCGTCATCTTCTGCTTTCCTCTTTCCAGAAGATTCACCTTCCTAAACAAGCAAACACACTTCTCAGTCTCAATGTCAAAAGAGAACATTTCTAGGCAAGTTTACCTAAGTTGAGTGACTCTTTAATAAAGTAACTTAAAAGAAAATCTTGCAGGTACTTGCTTTGACAGCACATATACTAAAATTTGGAATGATACAGGAAGATTGGCATGATCCCTGTCCATATAGAAAAAAAAAAAAAAAAAAAAAAAAAGAGGGCATGATGATGCATGCTTGATTCCAGCACTTGGGAGGCGGATGCAGGCAGATCTCTGAGAGGTATAGACAAGCCTGGTCTACTACAGAGTGAATTCACAGCCCAGCCAGGTCTACAAGTGGGACTCTCTCACACAAACAGTAAAAAAGTAAAAGGACAACTTTGCAGAGTTCAAGCTCAGCAAATTGTCTTCTACAAGGAAACCACTGTAGGCCCAGAAAGCCATAAGGACATGGGCAATGGGCTCTGCTCTAGAAAAGGTTAAGACTCAAATAAGGTTTACCTGGACCAACAAGATGGCTTCTCAGGTATGGCACACATTCATCCAAACACACATACTCTCTTCTCTCTCTCTCTCTCTCATACACAGAACCTCTATGTCTCCCCCCCCCCTTACACACACACACAGTCTCAATCTAAAATGAGGCTTCACTTGTCCTGTTGAACATTTCCCCATGATCAGGTCCATCATCAACAGTATCTCTCCTTTCCCAGCATTCATCTTCTTTTCCATCTAAAATTCATTATTTTAGTAAGTGCCAATTTTTAAAAATAATTTTTGTTTGGATATACTAAAAACCCACATCATAAAGATTTTTGAGAAAATATTTAAAGACATCAAAGGCATATATATATATATATATATATATATATATATATATATATGCATATACATGCAGAGAATCTATTAAAATGACTTAAATTCATCCTGCACGACCCTCCAATAGGAACGTAACTCAGCAAGTTTTCTAAGAAACAACTTCGACAGGCAGAATTGGGCTTCGTATTTAAGTCAACACTCCTTCAATAAACTCTGACACTGGCTAACACTTCAGAATTGTCACAAACCAACCCCTCACCAGAGTTAAAGAAATGATGGCACTGGATTACATGGTCGAGAGGCAGGCTGCTTGCTTAGGATGAGTGAGATCCTGGACCAGGTTACTGGCACCACAAGAACAGCTTCAGTGGACAGACAGACAGCTTGAAAATGAGTTGGGGAAGGCCACAGCATGTTTCCAGATATAAAATGCAAACTGGCATGCCCATGTTTTTCCTGACCTCCATGACAGCCAACACCTGTTTCTTGCCTTTCTATTGCAAATGTATTTTTTACAGACTAGAAGTGCCATAGGAGGATTCAAAAAATTTATGAACCCATACAAGGACATGAAGGTCCTCCTCCATGTACATCCCAGCTGGGAGGGCAGTGAAGTGAGCCCAATTAACAATACTGGAAGGCTGTTGTCCCCAGGATGTGACAAGTTACCTCCTTCTCCACTCCCCAGCCTAGAGCAAACTGAAGTCCTCTCCAGCCCTGTCAGCAAAGGCAATGTTGACTTTGCTTCCTGCTGCAGAATCTTGCAAACACATGACATGCCTGCACATAAACAGTGTTTGTTGTCCAGCTCTAAAGTTCTTTAATGTTAGAGACTAGATTTGAGTAGCAGAAAGAACTTCCATGGTACTTCTAAACATGTATGACATTTTTCTAAAACATCTCAGACAAGGTCCAGCAGCAGCCTGAGGTCAGGACTCTCCTGAGGAAGTCTAAACATTGACAGATCCAGGTCAGGAGTAAATAATAGTGGAAAGCCTGCCAAGACTAACTCCCCCAAAAGCTACAAGCAAGAACAGCACAGGACCCATCCCAGCTCTACAACGGAGCCTTCAGGATGACCTCATTTCATGAAACTAGGCATGCAGAATGCTGCCTTACTGAACAAAGCTAAAACACACATGGGTGAAACAAAAACATTAAGACTGAACTAGCTCTTGATAATGCAGTCATGACTACAGGTTCCAACAGACACGAGCAGCTCACAGATTGTGACATAAGACAGGGCTGCTAGTGGCTTCCAGAAAGAGGCAGAAGAGGGGAGAGAGGACCAGGCCCTTCTAACTAACCCTTCTCAGCAGGCAGCCTGTTGCTAAGTAAGAAGTTGCGCCTCTCCTGCCTTTGCTTTCCAGCTCCATCTGAATCTTTCAACTTTTCTAGTCCCCACCCCATGGAACAGGGAGCCAATAGACAATGCCCCCTGTTTCACTGTCTTTGAAGGAAGGAGATAGGTTTTACTTACTAAAATGGAGGAGTTGGATAAAGCATTCTCCCTTACATTCCTCTCCATTTAGGCGGGGAAGGAAAGGCAGCATTTCCTGTCTAGCTAGATGTCACTTTGTTCCCACACTCCTATCTGTATTTACTACAGTATAGGAACTTTCCCAGGCAGGAAGTATAAGCCGTGCTGGGGAAGTGAGCTGATCTGTCCCAGAGCAATGCAAATGGGACCTAGAAAGTTTGGGCAGCATCCAAATCCAACAATCCAAATTATGATAGACTTTTCTTTTCACCTTTGATTTTAAAGACAGAGTCTCAGATAACACAGCTGGTCTGGAAGGCACTCCGTAGCCTCTGCTTCAGCCCCCCCAAACCTTGGGGCTATGGGTATGAACCACCAGGCCTGGGGTAATCTAGATTTGCTCTTACCTTCAAAGCTGGCATAGCTCCCCCACATCTTAGAAGCATAGGTTCCCACAGGCATGGCCTAAGCTATAGCGATAGGAAGAGGCAGCAGGAAAAGGCTTGGAAGCAGAGGTAAAACACCGCTGTCAGGAAAGCACTCAGAGAGAGTGCTGGGGGGGGGGGGGGGATCAACCAGGAAAAGAAGCTTCTTTAAGACAGAGTTGGAAGGCTTGCACTCTCCCAGCCCAGCCTGCCGCAGGAGGGGCTAACAGGCTTATCTTTTATGAGGACTAAATAGTTCCATGGCACCTCTCAATTTTCACGGTTCTGCTTGCCGAGGAAGAGGATTAAGCATCTGCTTGGAGGAGAGCCCCATTTGCCAACTGTTCATCACACTGTAAATGCACTATTGAGATGTTATTTCTTTTAATTCACAACAAACATGTTGCAGAATGATGTTAACAAATTCTGTCTATAGTAAGCTACTCCCAAGAACATCATGGAATATTAAATGTGGTAATCAACTTTAACATGAGAACATAATTTTGCTTCACATAAGAGTTCATAAAAGCCCAAAATAATTAAAATGGCTCAAAAGCAAAACAGGAAAATATCCATTTCCTGCATTCTGGCCTGAGACTAGCCCTCTCACTGAAAACAGTGAATGATGATTGGTAAAATAAAAGAAAAGCATCATCAGAGGCCAAACTAAGGGAAAGCAGGAAGGCAGAGAGAAGCAAGGTACTGAAACAGGCTCCTCCCCAAAGACCCTGAGCTATGATCATCGACACTGGCCTTCATGCCTTGCAAGGTGGGCAGGACAGGAGACAAGAGCCAAAAGCCTTTTGTGTAAAAAAGGATATAAGTCTAGCACAGTTTCTCTGAGTCATGAGTCTGCAAACTTATAAAAAGTATTCATTTGTGTTGAGTGTGTGTGTGTGTGTGTGTGTGTGTGTGTGTGTGTGTGTGTGTGTGTGTGGTACATATGTACCACAACATGTGTGCAGAGGTCAGAAGACAATCTGGTGGTCAAACCTCTCCTTCCACTATGTGGCATTCACAGATCAAACCTGGTTGTCAGGCTTCGCAGCCAAATCAGCAAGACCTCAGACTGAGAACTCAGCTTCAAGGAGTCCCGGGCAGCTGATACCCTGAGCACCTTGCAGAGACACATGCAAGTCAACCAGGCTGGTTGTGCCTGTAATCTCAGAACTAGCAGGAGGATCAGGAATTCAAGTCAGGCACACTACACAGTGAGTTCAAGGCCTGCTTCAACTACACGTGACTCCAAAACCCAAAAACTAAACCCAAAAATCATCTTTGGAGAAATGAATCAATGTAGACATCAAAAATTCCCATGGAGGGGCTGGAGAGAAGGCTCAGCGGGTAAGAGCACTTGTGGCCCTAGCAAAGGACCCAAATTTTGTTTCCAACACCCATGTCAGGCTGCTTACAAACCTGTAATTCCAGCTACAGCGAACTGGGTGCCCTCTTCTGGCCCCTGTAGGCACCCACATACATGTATACACATACAGAGACACACACAAATAGAAATAAATCTTAAAAAAAAGAAATCCCATTGCTATCAGCTCAGTAAATCAATCAAAATCATTCCAAATGTAGAAAAAAAAAAAGGTACCATAAGATACAGCCAGAAGAAACAGTAGGAGATGCCGTGGTCTGTGTCCCAAAATTCCTATGCTGAAATGCTAACCCCCAAGATTAGGAGGGCTTCTGGAAGGTCAGCCTTGTGTAGCAGTCTTCTGGGATTCAAACATTCTATCCTGCACAAAGTTCCTTCACCAGGAAAGTCAACTCAAAATAGCTTGAGGAAGTACCTGAAACTGACCAGACTCACTACACATGTCCCTACCAGGATGAACAATCAAAGCTGAGTCTCACTCAAGACAAAGTGAAGCTGAGCCACAAAGACTGAGATGAACAGAGCTGCCAGGATTCAGACAAGCCGAGAAGACTCTGAGGCCAGCCCAGCTGGCAGGAAGAAGCAGAAACTAGCTAAGCTGCTGGAAGAATTTTAGAACCTGCAAAGGACACTCCCACCTGCTGAGCTGCCTGCAGGCTGAGCAATGTGCTCAAGTTTCCAGCTTCTGTGAGCTGTCACCATACTGAGTGGGCCTTGGTGATGCAGCTGTCTTTGAGACATTTCTGATCTTTTAAGTAACCCCTCACCCATACTCCTGTAATTCATCCCCAAAGATTACTGGTTCACCAAATTAGACAGACTTCAGTCTGTCATGAGTTCCCTATGTGAGGTGAATAGACTTGTGTGTCTCACCAGGGAAAATTTTTGTCACACAACAATAAGCAGAACAAAGGCAGGGCCTCATGGATGGAATGAGTATTTACACAAATGTGGGCCTCACCCCATGCAACTTGTGGCCTAGGACCTTCATGGAGAACTCATTTATATGTGTCTCAGGGCTCTTTGTCATCCCAGGAACCAAGCCCTAAGTATAAGGTAACCTAAAATGTAGTACATGCAGCTTACCTCATCACTGTTGAGTTTCTTTGCTTTGAGTAATCTTTGAGCCTTGTCTTCTTCCGAGCCCTCATCACTGTCTGAGGAGTAGATTCTAGCGCGTTCCTCTGAAAATGAAGGAATTAGACTGAATCATTTTCACAGACAGTAATCTACTCATTCCTGAATTTTCCTTCCAATAAATACCTTCAGTTCTCTTCTCTCTATACATTTTTCACAGAGGAACAAAATAATTTGTATTTGTTCCATTTTCATGAATGAGTGTGTGATGTATATGTGTGCACACATATGTGGAGGCCTGAGGTGGATGTCAGGAGTCATCCTTGGTCATTCTCCTATCTTATTCAGTGACACAGGGTCTTCATATAAGCCCAGAGCTCACCATTATGACCGGTCTCACTAGCCGGCTTTCTCAGGGTATTCCCTGTCTCAACCTTCCAAAACTGAATTGCAGGCCCCCAGATCACACAGGTTCTGGGGACCTGAGCTCCAGTCTTCATGCTTTTGTGGCAAGTGATTTAACAACTGAGCCTCCTTGGCCCCAGTTTAATTTACCTCACAGCTTTATATATGTTAAAATGAACCAAACCTATTCTTTCCAAATATAATGCCTTCCCAGGTCCCTACATTCTTGCTAGGTGAGTATTATACTGTGATGAGAACCACCGAACTCATCTACCTCGTTTTAATCTCTAGTGAGCTGAATGTTAAATATCCTAATCTTGAATGCATCTCTGACAAAATGTTACAATTAAGATTTTTGTGATGAATAAGCATGAAGAAGGCTGCTGTACTGAATTCTCTAAATAGCTAAGATATAACAGGTCAGATGACCAAATGCAGTCAGATAACGGGGAATTTAGGTGTTTGTAAAACATCACTCAGCCGAGATAAAGCCAGGATGCATGCATCCACATCCTCATAATATGGTACATATGGTTTCCAAAGCTCTGTCAGCATGAATCGGGGAAGGGCTGGATGAACACAAGTGGCACAGCAGTTCTCTAACATGCATTAAGCCCTGAGTTTTATACCCAGTGCCACACAAACCTCATTTCTCATTTTACAGACAGTCTGGCAATGAGAGGTTACTTGCTCAGAGCTGATGAGGTGAGCAAAGTGGCTTTAGGAACATCCATTACTATGTACTGACATCAGCAGCAAGCGCACTCCTTGTTCAATCCTTAGCTCATGTTCTAGGCACCATTAGCACACTGTTTTATCTCAGTTGACACACGAGAAGTTCAAAGAGGTTATGGAACCTTTCAAAAGTCACTCTATTAAAAAGAGGCAGAATCAGCTGAGCACAGTGATACATGCCTGTAATCTACACTAAGGAAGCTGAAGCAGGGGGATTTCAGGAATCCAGGCTGCTTCTGATTAAAACATTATTGATTTTATTTGATGTGTGGGCATTTGTCTATATGTATGTCTGTGTATCATTTGTGTGCCTAGTGCTTGCAGAGGCCAAAAGAGGGCATCCGATTTCCTGGGCCTAGAGTTACAGACAGCTGTGAGCCATTAGTTTCATCAATAAGAGCAGATACATCAGAACACTTAGAGACCAAACAGAATATCATACGTTTGTCTGGGATCCAGTATGCATTGAATCAATGCAAAGCACCTTGAAATAAACACTGAGGGGAGGGGATCTGCAAAACACAGCTTAGAGAAAGCAGGCAGGAAGGCAAAAGAAAGCACATGTGTTCTCCATAACTGCATTTCTTGATAACCCGCAACTTAGCTGAATAAGGTGGTTTATGCCTGGAATACCAGCACTAGAGAAGCTGAGGCAGGAGGGTTGATGAAAGTTTGAGGACAACCTGGACTAGAATGAGACCCTTTCTTAAAACAAAAGCCACCAACCTTTCAAACTGGAAATCAGAAGGGTGAGAGGTAAATTTGCAAGGGGCCTGACGTGTACATCCCTGTAACCCCAAAGCCCAGAAGGCAGGCCAGGGGGACCTATCCAAGGAAAGCCTCCAAAAACAAAACACCTGAAAGGGAGCCTCATACAAGTATAGAAGGACTTCCTCACCGAGACTTGGCAGGAGACACTAGGTCACCCTGACTCTAAGATGTCCAATGGCCGGCAGCATGCTCATGTGCAAGGTGCCACGCCACGCTCACCTCGAATGCCCCCTTTGTATCGGTTTTTGATGGCTGCCAGGCTGATGGACTCCTCGCCTTCCTCCTCCTCATCGTATCGGTCAGGCTCCAGGTAGCTGGCGCTCAGCCCCCTCTGGTGCTGTTTCTCTCTCATGCGGCGCTGCTGTGACTCCCTCCTAATGGAGGCCCTCAGGCGCTCTTCCTCTTTCTGTAAGAGAGCAAATAAGCCAGCTGCTATGGTTTGAAAGTGACCCCAACTTCATGTGCTGGAAACTCAACCCCAGCTAGTTGATTCACGAGTTGACTGGTAAGTTAACAGACTGACTTAACAGACTGACGGGTTGTCATGGGACCAGCCATTGTAGAAGCAAGCTTGCTTTCTCTGCATCGCCATGATTTCCAACACAATGGAATGCAGCAAGAAGTCCCCCCACCCCCACCAGCTGCTGTTCGATTGTTCTTGGACTTTCTAGTCTCCAAACTTTTTTTTTTAATTAATCTTATTTATTTAGTTGGGGGGGGGGGCAGAGGCCAGCTTACAGGAGCTGGTTTTATACTTCTACCATGTGGATGCTGAGGATTAAACTTGGGTTGTTAGGTGTAAGTGAAATAAATTTCTTGCCTTGTTTTTCCAACAAGATCTTAGCATACACCTGGCTGGCCCAGAACTCATAACCAAAGAATGACTGAGGCTCTAGGTTTAATCCTCAATACCGTAAAAAAAAAAAAAAGTCCTTACACAACTCTGCAAGACTCTGCTTTAGGTTGCCTTTGCTCGTACTGCTGTACCTCCTCCTTAGCCTGCTGAGTCTGACAGGATAAACTAGTGTAGCTGACTTAGTGGTATTTGACATCTGAAAAGTCATGTATTTCAGTGACCAGTTTGTGGGACAACAGCATGCATCTATTTTATTACCATCCCCACATCTTGATAAATGCTTAGGAAATTAACCTAGCCTATGTCACAGGAAGAAGGAAGAGAAGTTCAATAAGAGATAATAAACAGAAGAGCACACAGTTTGGGCAATCTGTTCTTTTTGTTTTTTAAGACAGTGTTTCTCTGTGTAGCCTTGGTTGTCCTGAAAGTCGATCTGTAGACCACACTGGCCTCAAACTCACAGAGATTCATCTGCCCCTGCCTCCCAAGTACTGGCATTAAAGGTGTGGACCACCACCACCTACCTGGCTACAATCTGTTTTTTTTTTTTTTTTTTTTTTTTTCCTTTTCTTTTGTTTTTTGGGTTTTTCTTGATTTTATGTGTCTGCATGCATGTATGGGGGAGGGTGTTGGGTCCCCTGGAACTGGAGTTACAGACAGTGGAGAGCTGTCATGTGAGTGCTGGGAATTGAACATGGTCTTCTCCCTGGAAGGGCAGTCAGTGCTCTTAACTGCTGAGCCATCTCTTTAGCTCCCACAGTTTGTTCTTAGTACACAAAAAGACTCCCCCAGGAAGTTTACCCAACATACCTTAATCATCTCTGTGCGCTGGCACTCAGGGTCACGACCAGCCATCGGTAAGATTCTAATCTTCTGTGTCTTTGAACATCTATCTGCAAGTGACAGAGTCATCTTCCTGTGTGTGGCACTGTCTGTAGAGTGAGGCCTGTGGGAATGAACAGAAATCCCCCAGTTTATGAATATATTTGTGAGCCAGTCATACCCACATCACAAAAAACACCAAGACAGCAGCTATCTTCTAGTCAAACAAGAGGCACAACCACTAAATCACATATTCTACTTGAAGGACTGTGGGCTTTCCTTTCTCTGGCTCAGTGGGACAAGAAAGTGAAAGAGAGAAAGCTGGGGTGAAGGTGGCTTATATAGCACGACCACCAGAGTCAGGAGACAGCCAGACGCCAGCATGTTAATGGACAGACACTGTGCTTGCACATCACCCTGCATATGACTTGTCACAGCTTCCCCATGAGCTAATCCCACAAAATGAAAGCTGTCAAAGGTCACACAAGGAGAAACAGACATAGGCCAGATCAGATCCCAAAGCCTAGTTTAAGCATTACCAGTCTAAAAGTCGGTGCTCCCTAGAGATTAAGTATCACCCAGGAAGGGGGTCTGTTTATCTTCAAGAAGAAAGCACAGTGCCCTCACCAGTGCCCAGGGTGTCCTGTTTTCCAGGAGGACACATTCCCACAAAGGTCTGACTGCAACAGCACTAGGCAATGGGACAGACCCAGGATTCACATCCCCCAGCTCAGTGCCTTTCCCCTGACAGTAGCATACACAAGCCCTGATTATTAGTTTGTCTCCAGGTCAATTTTTACTGAAAAAAAAAAGGGTACATTTGACCAGCATAGACACAAACACTTTAGCTCTCCTGGAAAGACAGTAGTCACTAGAGCTGATACACCAACACTCTGTTTTACATCACAGCCTCTCACAAGCTTGGCTGGAAGAACCCGGCTCCCAAGAAAGCAGCCTCTGCTCCAGAAACAAGCCTCCAGAAGCAAGAACTAGCTCCTGGACTGTGCTGGAGTCCATCACAGGGACCAGGCATCGAAAAACAAAGGACATTACTAAGGGCACTTACCTGAAGGTGAGCTTCGTTTTAAAGACGGCCTGTCCCTGCAGCCCAGTGCCTTGTCTTATGAAAAGATGGTTGTGATCACCCTGCAGTGGAGCTTTGTACACATCAAATACTTCATTCCCTAAATGCAGGGACATGCTGGAGAGAAAGAAACACTTTGCATGTGAAAAGCTAAAGGCTTTTAAGCTCTCCAGCTTTACTTTCCTAAAAATGTGATGCAACCAGTTTCCCTGTTTATACAAAGTGCAGGAGGAAAGACACCATGATGGAAGAAACTGACTTCCCTGAAGTTACATCTGCTTTGGTTCAGGCCCTGCCTCTACCTCATTCCCAGTGAAGGATACTTTTCCTCCCACTGTGAGTAATATAAATGGAGTTGAGGGGAGGGGTTAAGATTCTAAACTCACATTAGGTTATTGTCTCCCATCAGATCCAACAACCTCCAACTATCATTTCTCTTAGGCTTTCTCTGCAATCACAAGGAGTAACTAATGAGATTCTGTAACCAGAGCTGGCTCCTGAGTAAGGTCAAAGCCCCGTGACATTCTCTTTTCCCAACTGTTCTGGGTGCTTAATGCCAGGCATGCGGCACTCACCTTCCATCTGACCACTTGACTATCCGAGCATTGCTTTCTTTAATTTCATTTCCTTCTTCATCTCGGCGCACCCTCCATCTTATTGTATTTTCTACCTGTTTTAAAATACAAAACCTTAGAATTCCCCTCCAGAGACATGCAGTCAAAGAATAAGCATAAGTAGGTACGGGACAGAAAAATAGACAATGGTGAATCCTCTTGGGTTAAATTAAGAGCAGGGATAAAAGAAGTGGTATGATGACGACAATAGCCCACAGCCAGAGCATTTGCACAGACACAAGAAAAACTCTGAGGCACAGCAGACAAAGCTTGAGCCTCAAAGAGGACTTTGGAGATAAGACACATATGTAGAGGAAGTAGTCTTGCAGATATAAAAACCAGTAAAAGTGAGACCTAAATACTCTGCCTACTGGCCCACTGAGCCAGGGAAGGCCCCTCCCCACACACATATGGGGACTTATCACCTGCAGGATGGAAAAATGCCAGACAGATCAGAAAATGAGTAACTGCTATGGAAATTAAAAACTTGTTGGGCCTTCCAGGAGAACACAACACATTAAATGCCTGCCTTTGTCATGCCACATCCAGGAAACATACTAAAATAACAGTAAGGGGGGGGAGAAGTACACTCATCCACAAGGACTAAAAGGATGAAAACAACCCAGGTGTTATGGCGCAGGTCTGTGTTCCAGCCCACAGGATGCTGCAGAAGGAGGACTGTGGGTCTGAGTGCAGCCTGAGCTACAAAGCAAGGCCCTGTATAAAGCAGCAGGGTTGGAATGAAGATGAAGATGGCAATAAGGAGAAGCAAACATCCCAAGTCCATGTGTGGCATGTGAATGCTCACACACACACACACACACACACACACACACACACACACACACCATGTATTTCATTTTTTAAAATTTAAGAAATTGCTGGGCACACCTTTAACCTCAGCACTCAGGAGGCAGAGACAGGTGGATCTCTGAGTTCGAGGCCAGCCTGGTCTACAGAGCTAGTTCCAGGACAGCCAGGGCTGTTATACAGAGAATCTCTGTCTCAAAAAACAAAACAAACAAGCAAAAAACAAGAAAGTAAAACTACCTATCAATATTTCTGTTTTCCCTCTTATGTACAGCAGGTTAGTGTGCTAGCTGGTTTTTTGTCAATGTGACTCAAGTAAATCTGGCAAGAGGGACTCTTAATTGAGAAAATGCTTCCATCAGATCGGCCTGTAGTTAAGTCTGTGGGCATTATCTTGATTAACGACAGATATAGGAGGGCCCAGCTCACCCTGGGCACCACCATTACTGGAGCAGGTGATCCTGAATTGTATAAGAAGCATGCTGAACAAGCCATGAGGACAGGGCCTGTAAGCAGCATCCTACGGTGGCTTCTGCTTCAGTTCCTACCTCCAGGTTCCTGCCCTGACTTCCTTTAGCGATGGACTTTGATATGACAGTGTAAGATAAATGAACCCTTTCCTCCCAAACTTCTTTTTGATCATGCTGTTTTATCATAGCAACAGAAATTCTAAGACAGTTAGCTACATATAAATATATGAACATGTATATAGGTATTGTCTTAGTTACTTTTATATTGCTGTGATAAAATACCATGACCAAGACAAACTATAAAAGAAAGAACTTAACTTAGGGCTCACAGATTGAGAGTCAGGGTTCATGCCACCATGGTAGGAAGCATGGTAGCAGGTAGACAGCAATGCACTGGAGCAGTAGCTGAGAGCTCACATCTTCATAAACAAGCACAAGGCAGAGAACAGACTGGGAATGGTGTGGGCTTCTGAAATCTCCCTAAGCAGTTCCACCAACTGAGGACAAAGTAGCTAATATATGAGCCTATGAGGGCCATCCTCAGTCAAACCAGCATAGGCATCATCAACTGAGAAGATGCTCCTCAGTCAAACCAGCATAGGCATCATCAACTGAGACGATGCTTTGGAAGATGTCTTTGAGGGTGCACTATGAGGTCTCTTTCTACAGGAATGAAGCACATGGAAGTACTTCTAAAGACACAAAACCTCAGAGAGCCACACAGCTGGTTCCCGGCTCATTAAAGAACTTAACTGTGCCACCAATTAACTCTACAACTGTTCACCTAGTCTCAACCATCACTCAAGAAACAAATCTAGGGTCACTTTCAATCACACCCCAGGAGCCCAGAGGAGAGCTACCTATTTTAAACACCGATACTTTACTCCAAAGCACTTGAGATTTTAGAGCAAAATATTGATGTCTAAACTATGATGGCCACACTGGAACGTACAGTGGGTACACTGATACTCATTGCTGCACCATGACAGAAAATGGAAAAACTCCAAAAGGAGTAAAGACCTACCATGTTCATTTATATAAATGATGGAAATAACGAGAAGCAGAAAAATGAAGTCTGAGGCATTAAAATGGCCATGAGAAATTAATTCTGCCAACTCTAAACCAACACACACACATTCCACGCAAATAACACTGACAGATGAGCCAGCAGTGCAAAGACAGTGAAGGGCAGAGCAAATAATTCCAAACCATCAGTCCAGACCTAGCAGTTGTATGACCTCAAGCAAATCACTGGCATTTTCACGCCCCTCCTCCTTTCCTGACCTCCATCTCCACAGTGGTTATTGACAGCTCTAGACACTTGTGCCCTTGACAGGGACCATCTTCACCAATGTTACAAAGACACTTAGGAAGCTGTCCCATGTGGTGAGGATGGTGTTACTGGGAATGCAGAAGCTCAAAGTCAAGTCTGGCATGCTGGCTCATGCCTGTAACCCCAGCATTCAGGAGGTGGAGGTAGAAAGAGCGTGTGTTTAAGGCCAACTTGGGCTACATAGTAAGACTCTGCCTTAAAATTTTTTCAAAAAAGCCTAAGCTGCAAGAGCTCAGGTTTAGTCCCCAGGCAGCAATGTCAGGGACTGAAGATGCAGCTCCATGAAGAATATGCAGAGGCCCAGGATTAGATCCCGAGCAGCAAAAGAATTCTGAGAAGACAGATGATTAGTCAGGCTGATAGAACAAGAGACACAAGACCATCTGTAGAGCTCAAGGCTTAGCTTAGTGTCCCCAGATTCCCTCTGTAAAAGTGAGTGGTACCTTCAGTTTTAACCTGGTTCTCCCTTCTTCATCCAGCATCTCTTCATCTTCAAATTCGTCCTCATAATACTGAGGATCAAAAGGCCTAAAGGTGTTTTTAAAATAAGCTATTAATTTTATAAAGAGCACTGCCATGTTGCAGTTATAGTTATCATGACCTATTATATCAAAAATCATAACTTTAAAAACCACAATGCTCAAAAATAGTTTGAAGCTCAACTTGAAAGTATTCGGGGGGGGGGGGCAGAGAAGGAGGGGAGAGAGTGTGAACTAGGATTGACATGTAAAACAAGCTTGTTTCAAATTTAAATTTAATTTAAAAAAAGGGAAAAAAGTATTAAAAATATGCTAAAGTTTAAAATTTTATGCTGTTATTACTTGAAATAAATTATAAACAAAGTTAAACATTGCAAACAGCAGATATGGTGGTATATACTTTTAATGCCAGTACTTGGGAGGCAGAGGCAGGCAGATCTGTGAGTTCCAGGTTAGTCTGGGCTACATTAAAAAAAAAAAAAAATTCTCAACTTTTCATATTATAAGTCTTCCAAAGAAAAGACCACATACAGTGTATCTGCCAACATCATTTTCCTGGGAGGAGGGGATATGAAAATTACCCAAGACTTTGAGTATTAACTTAGGAATCCTCATCAGCTGTTTCACCCTTAGAGTCCTAGTGTGACAATTCTGCTACAGTGGCCAGGAGCTCTCACTGCTTCTCACTACAGGAGTTACTAAGTATCTTAGGGAGTCCATGTCCCCTCATTCATAAGAGAGTATCAAACTGCTAACAACAGCCACAATCAGGGAGTCTCCCTAAACACTAGGCCATGCTTTTGTAGCAGGATGCTTGATTTACTTTTCAGACATATAAATGTTAATCAACTCAATGAAAGAAAGAAAATACATTCACATATACCCACATAATTCTTTTCTTTGTTTCTCTGTGTAACAGTCCTTGGCTATCCTGAAACTTTGTAGACCAAACTGGCCTCTAAATCACAAAGGCCCACCTGCCTCTGCCTTCCAAGTGCTGGGATCAAAGACATGCACCACCACCACCTGGCTAATACTCACATTATTTCTAGCCAACACCCAGAAGACATCTTGATTTCCTTACCTGGGCTCTACACTGAGGAAGTTGGGCAGTTTAACAAAATATAAGTCGTTTCCTAAGTCAGTGTTTACTTTGGGGATTTCTACTTCTATTCTGGTCTCAGGTATTGGCTCCTCCTCCTGCTGGTCCTGAGGCAAGCCGTTTTCATCCTAGTGCAAGAAGGCAGAAGGTTAGAGCTATGGGGACCAGGTGTCAGCCCAGTTAGAGCTCCACATTGCATTACTCAGGGGAGCAAGAAACACAGTTTGGTTTTTATTACTATGTTCTTTGTGGTTTTTACTTTGTTCTTTGTTTCATTTGAGACAAGATCTCACTCTGTCATTCAGGCTAGCCTAGAACTTACAGAAATCCTCCTGCCTCAGCCTTCCAAGTACTGGGATTACAAGTATGAGCCACCATGACCAGCAAGAACCAAACTGAGATATTATCTTAGGGCTAATGTACCCTCAGTCTTCAGCACTATTCATCTATCTGCAGAACATCTCAGGAAAAGCAAGACAAGGCTGGCTGTGTCAGTACAGAGCATTGTGATCTAGTACCTTCCAAACGGTCACTAACAGAAATATTCTATCAGTCAGCACCTACACAGTCATTCTAATGGCATCAGAGATTATCACCACAGGGTGAGTCTGAGATCAGCTTGGGCCACATAGCAAGGCCTTGTTTCTAAAACTTTAAAAAATTAAAAAGAAAGGAATGAAAGAAAAATAATTAAGACAGTACCCATTTATTTAAAAATTTATTTAAAGTTCATTGATGTGAGGGTGTCAGATCCCCTGGAACTGGAGTCACAGACAATTGTGAGCAGCCATGTGGGTGCTGAAAATTGAACTTGGGTCCTCTGGAAGAGCAGGCAGTGCTCTTAACTGCTGAGTCATTGCTCTAGCCCTGACAGCATACTTTTATTTGCATGAATAAGAAAAACAATAGAGTGAAAGGTTCTCAAATGCCAGGTCCTCATGATCTCAACCTGTGGCACAGGACCACCTCATGTGAGCCGCAGCCACATCTACTCCTCCTTGGAACCAAGTTTCCTACAGGCCATCATCTACTTACTGCATTTTCATACAACAATCCAGTTAGCGACTTCCTCTTCCTAGAGGAAGAGACCCTTCACCTCGGAGACTTTGTCTCACTTGAATATGGGCCAGCTCAAGCTAGTACTCTGACTTACCACAGGCTGTCCTGGGGTAGGGGGCTTATCTTCTCCGTCACTCCCTGAAGAGATGTCATCTGCACCTCCAAACAGATCCATGGTTCCATTATTGTCTTCAGTGCAGAAGGAAAAAATATAGTGTTAACAACCATTCTTCACTTTACTAGTCCCAAGAGTTCTGGGCCAGCTCCAGGAAATGGCACAAGCCTAAGTCTGTAGCATGTGTGTGCAGAGACAGGCTCAAGCACAGGAAGCTCCTCTTCTTCCCTCCATCTCTGTATCCTTCTTCTGTTTTTCCCTTACTGTCCAGGAGCCAGTTATTTCTCTCAGGCTAGACCCTCAAATGTGGGCTAATACATTCTATGTCAGAGTTACATATCTGTGTCTAGCCAGGCAGACACAGGCAGAACATCGCTGAGGCACCCATCAAAACAGCAAATAAACAAAAAGAAGAGTGGTCAGAGAGCCCTCTGTTTAAAACTGAGATTATAGAAATTAGAATTACTGGTAAAGGTACGATCTGGGACAAAGAACAAAATTGCTGGGCAGCAAGGCAAAAGTGAACAGAGAACTGAAGTTCATTATATGATAAAACAGGAACATGGCCGTGCCTACCCGCTCCCTCAGTATTCCCTTAGCTCATATCACCATCCAATTACTTTACCTGTGAGGTTTACTTGTCTCATCAATCTGCACACCTAGGCACCGGGTGGCAAGTTCAAACATGGCTATACTCCCAATGCCTAGAACTGTCCCAGTATACAGCAGAGCCTCAAAAAAACATCAGTGAACAAGATGACACAGCCTACTTAATTCCCACAACTCTGTAAAGAGGGTCTGCATCACCCCCATTTTATATCTTAAAAAACAAGCAATAATTTGAAGGACCAAACACAGCAGGTCATCTGATCCTAAAGTGCACTCATGGAACTACTAAGCAGACATTTAAGTAAACCCGTGTTTGCTATTTTGTATAGGTTCCTTTTTTTCTATAGTTGACCCTCTAAACTCTGCCTTAGTTACTGTGTTCCTTAAGATGATTTCTCCAATTACCATGCAGCATAGCAACAGTTGCACACAGTGAAGCATCCATCACAATTGTGTCTGCTGTAACTTTTTTTTCTGTTGTTGTTTCTTTGAGACAGGGTTTCTCTGTCCTGGAACTGGATTTATAGACCAGGCCAGCCTAAAACTGACCGATATCCACCTGCCTCTGCCTCCCAAGTGCTGGGATTAAAGGTGTGTGCCACCACCGCCCATCTGGCCTGCTGTAATTTTCATACTAACATCTTCACTGAGTGGCCATCTGCCGTTGGCAAACTGTTACAGAGATGAACATGTACATCCTCCTTTACAACAACCTTAACTCTCATTTATATGAATGAGCTCTCAGTGTAACCCAGTCAAAAGACCACTCACTCCTTCAACTAATATTAAACTGCTAAAGTCTGAGAACAATAAGATAGTCTAGGACTATCCTTATTCACACTGAAGGAAGGCAGTGTCACTTCCTAATGGACCAGAGGCTCAGTCCTCCGCCCCCATAAAGTCACTCAAACTGTAAACAAAGAAACAGCTCCTTAACTGTGTGAGCTGCAGAGTACACTGAACACATACACACAGCTTTCTGTGAGTCATGCAGTCTCCAGGGTTGGGAGTACACCACAGTTAAAAGCACAGAGTTAGGAGCTAGACACGGGCACAGAAGAAACAGAAGGGCTACCTTTGGGCGCCTCAGTGTCACTCTCCGCTTCTGAATCAGATGGAATTGCATTCTTGCGTTTCATTCGTAAGACTTCATCTTCACTGTCACTGCCTCTGCCAGACTCTAAAAGAGCAAAATCAGAAAATGTGCATAAGCACATCCAAGCTTTACAGAGAAACTGCAACATTCCTGCAATGTAATCCGGTTCATCAGGGAATAAAAAAGGATGATTATATGTTAACAATTTGTATCAGTATAAAATGTATTATGCTAAGTCAAAGAAGAAAACCTAGCCTGGCAGAGACAGTTCCTGTAATCCTAGAACTAATGAGACTGCAGCATAAGGAGACAAAAGCAAAGGGATAGAATTGATCAGTAGCTGATGAGGTTAGGTACAGGCAAGGGATGTGGCTATGAAATGTGTCTCATAACATGCTGTCCTGTATCATGAATCTATAAACATGTCAACACTAATTAAACTGCACACAAACAAAAGGGTGGAGGTATAGCTCAGTTGTAGAGTGTGTGTCTTACATGGCCAAGACCCTGGGTTATCCCATCACAGAAAAAAAAAATTACAATGAGGAAAAAAAGCTGGGTGTGGTGGTGCATGCCTATAATGTTAGCAGTTCAGAAGCAGCAGCAGAAGGAGGGCAGCAAAGTCAAGGTTAGCCTGGGCTATACAATAAACTCCAGGCTGACCAGGGATATGCAGAGAGGCCCTGTCTCCAAAACCAACAATACAAAGTCAACCTTACCATACACACATACACACACACACACACACACACACACACACACACACACACACACACACTCCTATACTTTGTACTTTGGCTGGAACTTGTTATGTAGACCAGGCTGGCCTTGAACTCACAAAGATCTATTTCCATCTGCCTTCCAAGTGCTGGGCCATGTATTAATTTTAAAAAATAGTTGATTTATGAGTTCACAACTAGCCTATGCTAAACTACAAGGTCCTGTCTCCAATAAATTTTTTAAAAGAACTTGGATTTCTAAAACTAAAAACTTTTCATAGAGATGAGAAAATCTGTATTGAAATTTATGATTAAATTATACACATTATAGAAGACAGGCAAAACTGTGAGAAAGAGAAATCTATGATTATTTTCTAGATTTCTAGATAGTGTAATTATTTCCCTTAAAAACTTAATGAAGAGCCGAATGTGGTGGCACAAGCCTGTAATCCCAGCACTTGGTAAGCAGAGACAGTCTGGGCTATGTGAGACCTTGTCTCAAACAAAACAAAAAAGAAGATTCTCTCTGATCTGTTCTTGAATTACTTTGCCAGTATTGTATGAGCATTAAACATTCTGATAACTTCATGAAGAATCCTATTCTGAACTAGTTACTAAATACTTACGGAGCCCTATGCACAGTCTAGGCAATTTATACCCATATTGGGAAATACCCTGCCCTCTTCTAAAAAAGAAGTCAGAATGTGGTTCTGAATGCCCCTCCTGAGATATTATAGGGGTAAATCTCCCTATTCCTGGGATAGAACCAAACTGTAATTTAACTTGTCCAGTCACCTACAGACATGAAGCAATCCACTGGCCACTTTGGAAAGACTTCAACCTAACTGGGGTGACTTATAGAATGCAAAGTCTAAAATATTTTCAAATTCTATATGAAGAATACTGATTAGAGCTGAGTAATTTAACTGACAATTATAAAGGGGACCCAGAGACAAAAATCAGGTTACTGTGCTCTGCTGTCCTTTGACCTCCACCCACTTGCCACGACACATGAATCCATACACACAACCATTATTACATACAGACACACACAGACACAGACAGACACGTGCACACACACACACAAATTCTAAGATGGAACATGGTACCCACATCTCAGTACTACTGTACGGGATAGTTCAATGATGACATCAGTAACTGCAGGCAAATCTGTTGCATGTGTGCTTGTTAGTTACCCAGGACCCAGGAAAATGGAACCAACTCAATTCATCTGGCTTCTCTAACACCATACTCTAAGACTCTTTAGTACTTTTCTCTGATCCAGTCAGTTTATGAATGAATGGGGAAGATGGTGAAAACAAATGGAAATTTAAAGAATGCAGGGAGAGTTAAAGCTTAAAAAGGTGAAAATAAAAGCATAGGAGAGGAGAAAACAAAAATGAAAAACAGGATTGTAAAGATGGGAATACAGGTAATGGAGAGATGACTCAGTGGTTAAAAACCAGCTGCTCTTCCAGAGGACCCGGGTTCAAGTCCCAGCAACAATGCAGTGCTCACAACCTGCTGTAACTCCAGTTCCCGGGGACCTATCGCCCCCTTCTGGCCTCCATGGGCACTGCATGCATGCGGTGTACAAACACACATGAAGGGAACACACCCATCCATTTAAAGATTTAAAAAAAAAAAAAAAAAAAAAAAAAAAAAACCTTTAGGAAGAAACAAGAAGGGGGAGTGGCTGCACCCAGATGTTTCTACTGAGCCGCACAAATTCCCGTGAATCTTTACCTGACTTCTGGTCTTGCTCCTCCTCATCATCTGACTGCCTTCGATCTTCATCTGATGCTTGTGGCCTTTCGTCATCAGAGTTCTGCATCTTCTCCTCATCGGACACCTGTGGCCGGTCCTCATCGTCTGAGTTCTGCTTCTCATCATCATTATCAGAAGCTGCAGGGTGCTCGTCATCAGAATTCCCCTTTTCCTCCTCAGACAGCTGTTGTCTGTCATCATCAGAAAGCTGGGCCCGGTCCTCATCGTCTGAGTTCTGCATCTTCTCCTCGTCATCGTCCGAGTTCTGTAGCTTATCGTCATCAGACCCTTGCTCCCGGTCCTCGTCGTCAGAGTTCTGCATCTTTTCATCGTCTGACTGGTCGCTCTTATCTTCTCTGTCCCACTTTTCATCATCTGACTGGGCCTTTTCAGAACCTTCTGCCTCTGAGTGATGGCTCCCGTCATCTGATCTGTGACCCTCATCATCTTCATCGTTGTGGGCTTCAGATCCACTGTGCTGATCTCCATCAGAGGGCTCATTATCCTCGTGGTCAGATCGCTCAGATGCCTCTGACCTGTTGTCTGACCCTTCAGAGTGATTGTCGCTGCCACTGTGGTGGGAGGCCCCCTCCTCTTCACTGTCGTCTCCAAACAGTTCCTTGTTACTGGGCTGTCCTGAATCACCTCTTTCGTCTTGGTCACTTTCGCTGCCAGAGACATTACTGCCAGAAGCACCGTTCTCCTCCTGGTCAGAGTCTGAGTCAGACCCAGAATCAGAATCTGTGGGATCGTGCAAACACAAGGTGGCGTAAACAAAGTCAGAAACTAAAAGTCCATCTCCATTTTCTAAGAGGCAACTGGCAACACTGATTACCAACTGGCAACACTGGCGGAGCTAACTTTCTCAGTGTCCCAGAGGCAAAGGAGTTTCAAGAACCAGGAGAATGCTCAGTTAAGAAAAATTAGCAGACTCCCAGTAAACAAGCATATTAGCCCATACTGGTAAATCCATGTAATCAAGCACAGCAGCCCACTATAATCCAGCAACTCAGGAGGCTGAGGCAAAAGGATCAACTCAAATCTGAGGCCAGCCTGGGCTACACAGTAAGTTACAGGCCATCCTAGGCTACAGCATGAGACCCTGTCTAAAAAAGCTGAAATAAATAAATAAATAATGTAGACCTCTTCATGTTTTCCCTTACCCAGTCCCACCCCTCACCGCCTAGTTCATCCACACGAAAAAGTAAACAGTCCTACACTTCTGGTACAGGTACCATTGGAACCAGAAATAGTGCAGAAAGAGAAAAGATTAAAAAAAAAAAAATGAACAGAGCTTAAAAGCATAAGCAGAGAAAAATACTGTATAAGTACACCACATATACATTAATTATATTAATTATGGAATCCTAAAAGATAATAAAAGCTAAAGAAATAATGACCCAAATTTGATGAATCTACCCATCCAAGAACTTCAATGAATACCACACTGAAAAAACTTAAAGGGATCCATACCTAAACATATCATCAAGTTATCAAAGAATCATGAAAGCAGCAAGATTGTCTCATACAAGGGATCCTCTAAAAGGATGACAGCTTATTTTTTTCATCCCAGCACTTGGGAGGCAGAAGCAAATGCAGATGGATCTATGGGGGTTCTAGGCCAGCTTGGTCTACAGAGCTATAGTTCCAGGACAGCCAGGGCTGTTACACAGAGAAACCCTGCCCCAAAAAACAAAAACAAACAAAACGCAGAAGCAAAAACAGGCATTCAAATGTTGAAAGAGAAAGACTGTCAGACAAGAACACCTTTATTTTTCTTTTTATGGTGTTGACAACAGACCCTGGCAGGTGCTAGTCAGGAACATGACCCCCCGAGCCATGATTCAGCACGACTTAGACTTTTACAACTTGCAAAGAAAATTTAATAATTTAAAGGACTTAATGAATCACAGGAAAACTAGAAATTATTTTGGGATGAATGAAAATGATAGCATTACACCAGTTCTTAGGGAACAAAAGGAAAAGCAGTGTTGCTCAAAAGAAAATGCATAGTCACAACCACCTACATGAAAAAGAAACATCTCAAATCAACTACCTACCTTTACAACATAAGAGCTCAGAAAAAAGAAAATAAAGCCCAAGCCAGGGTGGTGGTGGCTCACACCTTTAATTCCAGCATTTGGGAGGCAGATACAGATGGATCTCCTGAGTTTAAGGTCAGGGTGGTCTACAGAGTGAGTTCCAGGGCAGCCAGGGCTATGTAAGAAATCCTGTCTCAAAAAACCAAAACAAGAAAAGGAAGTCCAAAATAGCAGCAGCAAGGGAATAGCAAAGAAAATAAAATTGAAAAACAGTGAAGAGTCAATAAAACCAGAAGCTTGTGGGTTTGTTTTTCCCATCATATAGGTTCTTGTAGTCTTAGTTGGCCTGCACCTGGTATGTAGACCAGGCTGACTTCAAACTTGTGCCAACCCTCCTGCCTCTTTTGAGTGTTAGGATTACAAGGACGCACCATCATCATGCCTGGCTACAAGTTTATTCTTTAAAAACTAATAAAATTAAAACTTTAGACAGATTGTCCAAGAAAAACAGTATAAGACTCAAATTACTTAAGTCGGGAATGGGAGTAGGGATGTCATTATTGGCCTTACAGAAACAATGATTTAAAAAAATGCTAGAAACCTAGATACATTCCTTCTAAGGTCGAGAACAATATCTACTTTTGCAACTCCCATTTTATAAGGAAAGTGCTAGCCGGAGCAAGTAAAATACACAGGTAAGAGAAAGAAATAGTAAAACTGTCTCTAATCACGATGGCATGGTTTCACATGTAGAAACCCCTAAAAGTCACAAAAACTATTACAGCTAATATATTAGCTGTGGGATAGCAAGAAGACACAAGATCAACTCACATTAGAAATAAAAAAAATATGAAACAACTAGTAGCTGGGAGTGGAGGTACATATATGTAGCACCAGCACTCACAGAGGCAGGAGAATCAGGAATATAAAGTCAACACAGGCAACATTCACAGCAGATCCTGTGAAGAAAGAGGAGAAATGGAAAGGAAGGAGGAGGGGAAGGCAGATAAGCAGGCAGGTCCACCAAGTACCCATTCCAACTATCACACCCATTCCAACTTCAAGAAAGAGCCATTGTCAAGGACAGCATACCAGACCTGGAAGTAAATTTTAGAGCACCCACTAACGTAAAGAAGAAAACTGTAATGACCTTAAAATAAGTTTTCAAAAGGAAGAAAAGATAGAATTGCCATCATCTCTACACACCACTTCCCTGTGACTTGTGTTGACACAGGGTGCATTCACTAACAATTGGTCTATTCAACTGTGCACCCAAAAAGCACTAAGCCAGCAAGATAGCTCGAAAATCATCGTTATTTACTGAATGAATGAAATGAAAACCTCACGGAAGACGAAGAGGCAAGAATAAACAAAGAGAAACTACTCGAAAAAGTTGTGGGGTGGGAATTTGTACAGAGAGATTCCAGGCTTATCCTGATTAGAGCTCTCACAGTAGAATTCAGGTCTCTGTACTTGTACCTACTGCTCCCTTCGCTACAGTAATTACATATAAACTGGAGCTGATGAAAACTGGGGAGGGGCAAGGAAAAGGACACTTATACGGGCTAATTTGGGCCCCGGGAAGGCAGCAAGAATTCTCAAGTTGGTCTTGGGTCTTTCCTCATCCCAAATTACGTCTATTCATATCTCAAATTCAAATATTCATAGACCTGTGCTAGAAGTGCCTCCATGCACCACATATTTCATTCATTCATCATCAAATCATCTGTCACTTCTCTCCAGACACCCCACAAGCTTCCCGATTCTTACACCACAGACAAGGTTTTTCTGAACTGGCTCTCCAAGGGCACTCATCCCCAGTGCGTAGTCCGTCTATACAGCTCCACCCTGACCCCCCCACACCCCCAGGACCCTTCATGATTATCTGCAGTCCCCCATCATCTCACTGTTTCGACTCAGGAGGGCGTTATCAGGCCTGATGAACGCTGAACAGGTCTCCACCTACACCCTGCCACCCCTCATTCGGCCAGGCGTGCACAGCGGGGCACAGCCCACACGTCCTCGGACTGCACCCTCCACGAGCCCAAGCTGGCCCCTGGCCCTCGAGGCTCAGACTCCGCGCCCGTCTCCCGGGAGAGGCTGGCACCGCCCGGCATGCAGGGGGCGCTGGGCAAGAGCGTGGAAGCACCACGGTGCCCGGCGGCGCGCCTCCGGCCGGAAAGCAACTCCGCACCCCGTGCGCCCATCCGAGGAGCCCGCCCGCCCGTCCGCCGCACCTTTGCGCTCCGCCTCGCTCTCAGCTTCGCTCCCGAAGAGATCCTCCATATCCGCCATAGCAGCTCGGTCCGCGGCCTTGGCCTGGACGAGTCGAGCCTACTTTACGGCCGGAGCCGACCGAACACGACAGTGTCGTAAAGACCCGCACAAAGGCCTACTCTGCTTCTGTGACCTAGTTTCCGCGTGCACTCGGCGGGCTCCGCCTCCCGGGTGTCTAAGCTCCTGTGCTGCGTGCGCTGCATGGCGGCCTTGCAAGAGCTTGGGTGTGCGGGGCGGACTCGTCTAGAACCCGTCAGCCGCAGCAGGCCTCCACTTCATGGAAACTTCACACCTTTAATCCCTACGCTGGGTAGGCAGACGTAGGTGATCTCTGTGAGTACCGGGACAGCTTGGTCCACATAGCGAGTTCTAGCCACATAGGGAGACCCTGTCGCAAAAATAAGTACATAAATAAACAAACAAAGTAAAATAAAAAGGATTGAGAGCCCTAGCCAGACGTGGCGATGCATGCCTGTAATCCAGGACTGCAGAGGTAGAACCAGAAACCCAAGTTCATCCTCAGCTATATAGCAAATTCAAGAGCAGCGTGGGAGCCTTAAGGAACCCTCCTCTTAAAACAAAACAAAATGACTTGCTCTGCAAACCTAAAGATCTAGGTTTGGAAACCCCAGCACCTACTTAAACCCAGGTACGGCTCTGCCAGTTGTAATCCCAGCACCGGATCCATAAACTCCAGGTCCAGTTAAAGTATCCTATCTTTAAAATTAAGGTGCAAAGCCGGTCAGTGGTGGTGCACTCCTATAATCCAAGCACTTGGAGGCAGAGGCAGGCAGATTTCGGAGTTAGAGGCCAGCCTGGTCTACAGAGTGAGTTTCAGGACAGCCAGGGCTATACAGAGAGACCACCTCGAAAAAAAAAATTAAACTGGAAAAGAAATATGTCTAAGATACATGGTAAAGAAAGAAAACTTTGAATAACATACATTCAGAGCTACCATTAAAACTGTGAGCCAGACACAATGGCCATTGATCCCAGCACTGGGGAGACAGAGGCAGACCCTAGGCCACATAGAGAACCTGTCTCAAGAGAACAAAAATACCAATTGACCGTCTTTCTCCAGAAGACTCCTGTAGAGGCTGGAAACTGTGGTTGCCTCCTAATAGAGGAACCTGAGGACAGGAGAATAGTGAAGGGGAAATGGCATCCTTCATTATCTCTTTTATTATCTGCCTGCATATATGCCTGTATGCCAGAAGAGGGCACCAAATCTCATTACAGATGGTTGTGAGCCACCATGTGGTTGTTAAGAATTGAACTCAGAACCTCTGGAAAAGCAGCCAGTACTCTTAACCTCTGAGCCATCTCTCCAGTCCCTAATTATGTCTTTTTTTTTTTTTTTTAAGCATTCATTATTTTTACATATGTGTGTGACTGCTTGTCTCTACGAGTACCGAACACATGCAGGTATCAGCGGAAGCCAGAAGAGGGCATCAGATCCCCTGGAACTGGAGTTTACAAGCACTTGTGAACCACTTAATATGGCTGCTAGGAACCAACCCCATACCCTCACGACATGCTCATAAATGCTGAGCTGTCTCTCTTGCTTTATTATTGCCCCCCCTTTTTATACCCTCTGGGTTTGTCTAAAGTGTCCTTTAAACTTAAGGTCAAATCCGGATATACTAAAAAGACAGCAAATGCCAATGATAATTAGCTCTGGGTGCAATGATTTTATTTTGTTCTGTTCTGTAGATTTATTTTTTTACAATAGAAATATATTAGAATAAGCAAGGAAATTTTTTTTCTAATAAGACAGACTGTGTTATGCTTTTCCTACTAATTTGGCCTGCTGGTTAGGGGTTTTGTTTTGTCAACTCGCCGTAAGTTAGAGTCATTTGCAAAGAGGGAGAGTATCTGCCTATCAGATTGGCCTGTAGGCAAGTGTGTGGGGGCATTTTCTTGACCCATGATGGACATGCGCCCCGTGCCCTGTGGGCAGTACCACCTCTGAGCAGGTGGTTCATGCAGGAAGTAAAGCTGAGTAAGCCAGGGAGCAGCATTCCTGTGTGGTTCTGCTTTGGTTGCTGACTTGAGTCCCTGCTGACACCCTCATGATGCAATGTAAACTGTAAGGTGAAATAAACTTTTTTCTTTTTGATAATTTTTTAAATTTGAATTTGAAACAAGCTTGTTCTACATGTAAATCCCAGTTCCCCCACCTTCCCCTGTTCCCCCCACTAGCCCCCATCTCATCCCCTTTCTGCTCCCCAGGGAGGGTGAGGCCTTCCATGGGGAGTCTTTAAAGTCTGTCACATAATTGGAGAAGGGCCCAGGCCCTCCCCATGTGTCTAGGCTGAGAGAGTATCCCCCTATGTGGAATGGGCTCCCAAAGTCCATTAGTATACTAGAGATAAATACTGATCCACTACCAGAGGCCCCATAGGAAATAAACTCTTTCTTTCCCAGATTGCTTTTAGTCAGTGTTTTATCACAGCAATAGAAAGTAAACTAGGAATTTGTCGTGGAGGATTCTGATGATTGTTTTTATAATCATAGTGGGAAATGCATAATATGGTTTAAACTGAGTCATGTTAGTTAGTTTCCTCCTCTCTCACTGTGTGTGTGTGTGTGTGTGTGTGTGTGTGTGTTTGTGTGTGTGTGTACTTGGCATCATAAAAAAAACCTATTTGAATGGGAAGCTAATTTCCATATGGAAGAGTTTTCTGGGTATCTAGAAGTAGACAACACTTCCCAAAGTTAATTTTAAGCTGTTTTCTAAAACAATGACAAGTATTAATCTCCATGTTTTCTCACTGCCATGTACCAGCTGGATTTTTAGGAGATTCGATTGTCAACTTCAAAGCCCTGGTAAGTTCCCTATGCATATGAGAGTTTGGGCAAGGAAAGATGAATGTTGAAAATGTCTGAGTATACTTCCTATGAAAATGTGTATTTGTGTGGAGAAAAAAGGGGAAAAAAAAACAACCCACGGCAACCAAAGTTATTAAATCAGAAGGCGTTTCTAGAGAAACAAAGGTGAACATTTCGTTTGTTGGGACCTTTCCTCTCCAACGCTGAGGGCTTGGGAGAAGGCTGGGTTTGGTTACTTCCTGACCCATATGGGTTACCAGGGAGCTGTGTCCTGGAAAGACCTCAGCCAGCAGGCAGGATGAGGTCAGCGGCTGCACTAGCAAGGGGAGGGGATGGGGTGGGAAGAAACAGGCAGAGGAGGCGGGACCTGCTAGGAGGAGAGTGACAGCTGTAAGGTTACCATGGAGACCGAGTACCCGGAAGGAGAGACCAGAGGACGACAGAGATGAGGAATATGATGAAAGAACATCTTTTAAAAGCCCAATAAAATAGTGGGGGAGCATATAGAGACAAAACTGGGAGAACACTCCCAACTTCTAAAACAGGAAAATGTCAGGAAAATTCACTCCCCTACAGTCCTACAGTGAATGTACATGAATGTGCATGTTTTGTAGCCCAAGCAGGGCTTTTTTTTTTTTTTTTTTTTTTGCCGACGGGGGTGGGGATTGGGGGTGAGGAAGGAAAAATGTGCAGTGGTGGTGTTGTAATTGGGTTTGGGGTTTTTTCGAGGCTGAGTTTCTCTGTGTCCTGGAACTCGCTCTGTAGACCCGGCTGCCTCTGCCTACTGAGTGCTGGAATTAAAGGTGTGCTCCACCACCACCTAGCATCAAGCAGGGTTTAAACTTACATTTTTTGAGGAAGGCCTTGAACTTCTAACCTCCTATTTTTACTTCCCAAGTGCTAGGAATATGCACATCTGCATCAGTATGTCCAGTTTATGAGAAAGTGAAATAAAAAGAAACTACTAAAATAGATTTAGCTAGTTGGGCTTAAAAGTCCCCGCCTTTAATCCTAGCACTGAGGGCTACACAGAGCTCTGCCTCAAAAAATTAAATAAATAAATAAATAAATAATAAAATAAAATGAAATAGGCTTAGCTCAAAGACAAAACTGAAGCTTTCTCCTTATGGTAACACTGCTCCTGTCTGGTTTGTTCACTTTTTTAACTGGGTGTTTTAGAATCCTGAGTAAACACTGAGATGCCAGCAGAGGGTGGGAACTGGTGTGCGTGGCTGGCTGGCACTGTGTATCTCCTCTCACAAGGGAGTTACCAGGAGGAGACTGGATTCAGGCCTCAGTTTCAAAAGCTTTGAGGTCTTAACCGTAATGTGGCAAAAGGCCACAAGATGGTGATGTTATGCTGAAGAGATCTGTGACCTGCAAGGGGGGGGGAGGGAGGAGCAGCCCCATGCCCACCCTTAGCGGGTGTTCCTTAAGCTGGATATTTGTGTGAGCCTGTGGGAAAAAAACATGAAGCAAGCAGACTGAAGAAAGTGTCTCTTTGTAACCTCTAAAATAAAGTGTAGCCATGTCCCTCCTTTGACTAGCAAACAGTACAGAAATACATTTCAGCTAGACACTCTGGTGTTAAAGATGAGATCTGTGTCCTCCCCGCCCCCCCAGGCTGGCACTGAATTCCTTGGCTCAAGTGATCATCTTGCCTTTGCCTCTCAATAAGTCAGAGAGCAGTGACAAGCACTCTGTGCCTGGGAAACTGGTTGGTTTTGTTTTTGTTGTTTTCTGGTGGATTTTATTTGTTTTCTTTTAAAATAGCCTCTCATTATATAGCCCTGGCTGACTTGAAACTCATTGTATCTCAAACCAGCCTTGAACTCATAACCCTCCAACCTCAGCCTGGGATTACAGGCATGTGCCACTACATCTGGCTGCTGATTGGGTATATAATAACGACTGCTACATTTTTAGGGAAATGCTTTTTCTTGAGCACCATAAAATGGGAAAATTTCCCCTAAAGAGTCCATTAAAAGTTTTCTTTACTGTAATTTATCTCCTTACTTATCAGGAAATGACAGTTGGGGATAGTCCCTTACCTTTAATGGGTGTGACATTTTAGGTTGATTATGATTCATACTGATGTTCGGGTAAATTTGGCTTTCAAATATGGGAACGTATGTATGTGTTTGTGTTGCTGCTACATAGTGTGAGTATAGATAATCAAATCAGGACCTCAAGCCAAGGAAGGTATTATACCAAGTGAGCTACTTCTGCATATACCCATTATCTACTACTTAACAGGGAAGCAAAATTTGAATGGAGGAATAGAT